GAGGGGAAAAACAACCAACATGGCAACCCTAACTTCATATCGTATCGTAAGGCCCTAACAGTTTATATAAGTAATAAAATAAACAAGGGGAAAAAGAAAAAAAATGTGAACTAAACCAAACCCCCATTCCCCCCCCCCCCCCCCCTCCCCATCTCTGGACTAGTTGAGCGCAGCCACGTGGCGCTCAACGTGACCCATCTGACCGATCCGACTCGTCTGTCACCGATGGCGTCATGCAGCAGGGCCAGAGAGCAGAGAGTTGCAGGGGAAACCAATCCAGATCATATCAAATCCTCTCTCTGCCAGGAACCCCACCATGAGTCACCCCCCCCTCCTCCTCCTCCCTCCCTCTGCTGCTCCGCCTCAGCCGATGACCCAGCACAGAGAGTCACCCTGCCCACCAACCACACACACAGCCAGTGATCGGCAGGTTAGACAGCCGCCCCAGTCCAGTCTGACCATGATCGCACCCTGTCTGGTCCCCTGTCCTCCTTCCTCCTCTCCGCCATGGCTCCTCTCTCCTCACCCACACCCACCCATACCTCTCTCGCGCCCGGACACTATGGGCCGCAAGCTCAACAACATGTCGCCGGCAGAGCGGGCAGCAGCCATGGCGGAGCGCAGACGTAAGAAGGAGGAAAAGGCCCGCAAGGCCCGTGGAGGTGCCCCGCTCGACCCACAGGCGGCCAAGGAGGAGAAGGCCGAGAAGGCCCGCCGCAAGGCCGAGGCCCGCCTACCTCCGCTTGAGGACCGCATTCCGCCCTCGGCGCGAGTCGTTGGTCTGGCAAGCTCGTCGATCTTCAACGCTGTCCACTTTGCCTACATCGGGGCTGTACTCTACGCTCTCGCTGCCGCCTGCGACCACGCCGGGCCGGACGAGGCCTGTTCTCGCCTCGGTCATGCTGCGGGCTACACCCTCGCAATCGCTGCTCTTCTGCACAGCGCCCTGCTTCTTGGCTCCTTTGTCCCGGCGGTCGAGGGCCCGGTAGTGGCCTGGGCGCTGCTGCCGGTCTTTGGCCTTGCCGCTCTCCCAACCCAGCTCCTTGTCCTCGGCAGCGTTTTACGCCTTCCAGGCGCTATGAGTCCTGTCGCTGTCGCTGACGCCACAGGCGCCGGCCCGCAATGGTTCATGGGCAACTGGCTTGCTCTCATCTCGCCGCCGCTGGTCCTTATCATTCTCATCTGGCGCCGCCGCGTCCTCTACTCGCTCTACTTTTACGACGCCGCCGCCAAGCTCTCGCCCAACTCACGCCGCATTAATGTGCTGTACCAGACCTCGGCTCCGCTCCTACTCTTTGTGGCCTGGTACGCCGTCTTTCGCCGCGACGGCTGGCTCGCCACTGACATCTACGCCTGGCCGGGCCTCGGCACGCTCCTCCTATGCACCGCCTCGACCGTCTTCCCGCTCTGGGCCTTTTTGCGGTTCCATGTTAGCAGCCTCTTTGGGCCCATCATGTGGCATGTTTACGGCCGTCGCGGTCTCGCCTGGTGCCTCAACGAGCGGACCAACGAGCTCTTTCCGCTCGTCCTCCTCCGCAAGGGCATCTCCAAGCCTACGCCACCAGCTGATGCCCAAGGCGAGCAGGCTGACGCCGGGACCAGCAGCGCCGAGCCAGCGGCCGAGCCGGCGGCGGATGCGGCGGATGGCGCCAGTAGTTAGCTACCGCTGCCGACGCGAGTGCCCGCTTATGCTCCCAGGGCGTGCCGCAGCGCAGGCATGACATCGCCAAGCGTCTCAACGTCAAGCATGTCGAAGAGCGCGTCGACCAGGACCACATACTCGGGCAGGGCTGACTCGTAGGTATCGACCTTTTGGGAGAGGGCGACGACCTCGTTGAGCACAGCCTCGGGCGTCGTGACGCCCAGCAGGGCCTCCAGTCTCGCCACAAGCTCGACTCGCGCCTCGAGCGCCTTGGCCTCGGGTACCTCGCGCGACGTGCTCGTTGCCCGCAGGCCCGCCGCCAGCGTCCGCAGCTCGGTGAGGCTGATCGACGGGAGGCCAAACGCGTCGGCGGCGCCGGTCCGGAACGCACGCGCCTCGTCGAGCTCGGTGCGCCAGCTTGCGAGGACTCCCAGCGCGTTGCCGACACCGACAGCCACGCCGCGCTTGCCACTTCGGATCGCGGCCAGCACACTCTCGATAAACTCCTGCATGCCCGGAAGCGCCGCCATGGCCCGCTCGATCTTCGCCAGCGCACTCTCGAGCTTGCGCAGCGACGGGACGCCGAGCCGGTCCAGAACCGTCTGCAGCGCCTCGCGCGCCTGGCTCCCGCTCAGGCTGTCCAACGAGTGGTGTGCGAGTGAGAACGACTCGCGGTCCTGCCGGATGAGCTCACGGGTCCGCGACGCGTTGTTCCCGTCGCGGCCAACCACAAATGAGAGGCCCGAGTCAGCCGCCATGCCGGCAGTGAGCGCAGGCGCCTCGGCTGCAGCCTCACGCTCTTCGCGCCAGCGAAGGACCGACGGCCGCGCCTCCAGCTCGAGCTTGGCTAGCTCGAGCTCGTCCTCAAGACTCTTGATTCTGGCGTACGCAGCGTCGCGAGCTTCGACTGCCGCCCGCGCCGCGCCCTCGGCCGCGGTAGCATGCTTACGTGCGTCCGCTGCTTCACCGCTCGCCTCGGCCAGCTGCCGCTCCAACGACGCCCGCAGCGGATCGTTCGCCTGTCCGGCCTTGAACCCAGCCTCGAATGCCTTGGCGTACTCGGTCTCGGCCTTGGCCGTCACCTGCGCCCGCAGCTCGCGCAGCTCCTCTTGCACCAGCCGCAGCTCGTGCCGCTGCGCATCGTTCAGACTCTCCAGCCGCGCCCTTTCCTTCTCCGCCAGGCTCTGCCTCATGACCATGCCGGACGCAGCGCCACCGGCGTGCGCTGCACGCGTCACCGGCGTCCCAGACACCTCGACCACCTTGAGCAGCTTGGCCTTGACCTTGGAGAGCTCCTCATCTTTGGCGGCGAGTTTGGAGCGCATGACATGGGTTTGCGACGTCAGCGACGAGAGCGCAGCCTTCAGCTTGCGCGTTTCGCGCTTGGCGGCAGCAGCGGCTTCGTCGCCGGCGGCCTCGGCCTCGGCCAGCTTCAGCTCCAGCGCGGCCTTGGCCTTGGACGCCGCCAGCAGCTCGCGCCGCATCCGCACCATGTCCGAGTTGGCTGCTTCAGCCGAGTTTGCCGCCGCTTGCTGCGCTGCAAGCTGCTCCGACACCACTCGCCCGCGGTGCTCGAGCTGGCGGAGGACAGCAAGAAGGACAGAGGCCAGCGCACGCTTGGACGAGCGCCGCGAGACTGGCTCCATGCCAGCCTGCAACAGCGCCGCGTTGACGTGGTCGGCGTCAAAGGTGTCGTCGGTGTCGTCGGCAAGCTGCACAATCCGCGGCGAGCGCGATGATGCCCGCGACGGCGACAGCTGCGGCCGCGGCGACGACTGCGCCCCCGCGGCCGAAGCCCACTGCCGCGTGGCGCATCCGGGGTGTAGGACGGCGTCGGCAGCTTGGACGAGAGCGTCGAGAGGTACGCTGCCCGCGGCGGCGATGAGCTCGCCAGCGCAGACATCGACGACATGAGCGAGGCGTCGGCGTCGCGTCGCGACGACGTCGACTCGGCCAGGAACGACGAGATGTTGCTAAAGTGGTCACGCAGCGGAGAGTTGCTCGGCGGAATACGCGGGACGGCGAGCCGAGCCTCCTCGTCGTCGTTGCCATCGTTGCTGGCAACCGCCGCTCGCCGCAATGGCGACGCAGCGGCGCTGGCTGCGGCCTCGGCTGTCGACATGCCGCCGTACCGTGCGCGCGCCATGTTGAGCGCCGTCGAGTACGAGAGCGTAGCGTCGGCCTCGGACTCGAGTGCAGACGCACGCAGGGCGTCCAGATCGGCGTTTGCCCGGGCCACAGCATCGGATGCAGCCTTGACTTGCGACGGCGGCGTGACGAGCTGTGGCACCGGCTGGGAGCGCGCCGGCGAGGCGGGCTCTGTGGCGGCGGCGGCGGCCATTGCCGGCTCCAGGGCCCGCTTTGTTGACGATCGCGGCGGCGAGGTCAGCTCTGAGTGCGGAGCGGTTGGGTCAGGCGTTTGCGTCTCGGAGTCGGCCACCGGTGAGCCCTGCGTCTCGGCGCGGGGCTTGATGGGGGTGGAGACCTCGCGCAGTAGCTGCTCCAGCTCGTGCGAGACCTCTTCGTTTTGCCGCAGCGCCTGGACAACGTGTGCCTCGAGGTCTGCGGTCAGCGTCGACGAACGAAGCGAGGCCGATGGCGAGCCAGCCGACGATGGTGACGGCAGTGGGGCGTTGAGATAGGCGTCAAAGTCGCGCTTGATGGCCGACGCCGTGCCGAGCTCCGACAGGGCGAGCGACCGGGCTCCGCCTGGGCCTGCGCCTGGGCCTGGGCCTGGGCCTGCGCCTACGCCCGACCCTTCGCCAGCTGTGTACCGCGAAGACGACGAGAACAGCGAGGAAGACGCTGCCGACATTGTTGTTGTGGCTGCGCTAGTGGTTGTGGTTGTGGTTGTGGTTGTGGGTGTGGTGGGTTGTGGGGGTTGTCCATGGTGTGACGGGAAGGTGTGTGCGTGTGCGTGCGTGTGTGTGTGGGGTATGTGTGAGAGGGTATGTGTGTGTATGTGTGTGTATGTGTGTGTGTATGTGGTTGTGGGTGGAGTGTGCTGCTCTGGTCCTCTGGGCAGTGTTTACCGGCTGGTTTGCAAGGCGCGCGCGCGCGAAAGTGACAGGTCAAACTCGGCGACCTCGGGACATCAGCTGCTCGAATATGCTCGTTGTAATGAACGAAGGGGGGGGAGAGAGGGGCCTATTGCCACCTCGCTAATGGGTGTAGATCTTGACGGGCGCCCACCGCGGTGTGGGTGCCGGCGCCGCCAAGTCGATACAGGGGGTGAGCGGCTTGAGCCGCTTGACTGGGCGAACCTCTGGCTCGCAGTCAAGGAGCGTCGGGGTGCGCCGGCGCTTGTGGGACGTGCTTGCCGAGGCAAACGTGTCGAGAGAGCTGCAGGTGCAGCGGCGCGCACACGCAGATAGCGCGGCGCGGACGATGGGCTGGATGGTGGCCTTGAGATTGCGCCGCGCAGCAAAGATGGCCGAGCTGGCCGAGCCGTCGCCCGATGGGACGGCGGCCTTGACGTAGCGCTCGACAATGGCATTGGCCTGACCGCGGCCCCAGAGGTGTGCTGCGAACCGGAAGAGGCCATTAGCAACGGCCGGCGCGGCGGTGGCAAACACCTTGCGCAGCGTCGCCTTGGTTGCCGCTGCCTTTGGCCGTTCGGCCTCGATCGCCGCTGCAAGGACAACCATGTGCCCGACGAGCGAAGCGTAGACCGTTGCGCCCTGCGGGAGGAGCACGCCGGCCCACGAGCCCTCAAACGAGTTCTTGGCGCCCGGAAAGGTGATTGCCCACAGGTCACGCCCGCGCTGGAGCGAGTACGGCTCGACAAACCGAGCCCGGATCGCCACAATGAGCTTTGCCAGCGACGTGCCGGTCGGCGCGTCCGCCGCCACTTCAGCCATCACCTGTGCAGCCTCGGCCATTCCGTGCTTCATCGCAGCCATCTGGCCTGGCGACGAGCACTCGGCATACGGCAGCAGCAGCGACAGGTCTGCGTCCACGCGTGCTAGCAGCCGCGTCGGGCAAAGGTGGCTCCATCTCACAACTGTGAGCACGGTCTGCAGCTCGCCTGCTAGCTCGGCAAAAGCCTGGGCCTCGGCGTCACCGACTGTCGCACACACAAATCCGGGCGTCAACGGGGCGGGCGACAACGGGGCGGGCGACAACGGGGCGGGCGACAACGGGGCGGGCGACAACGGGGCGGGCGACAAAGAGGCCGACGGCGAGACCGACTGCGAGGCTGACGAGTACCACTCGGCCTCGGGAAAGCACTCCTCCAGCGAAATCGGAGAAGGCTCGACGTTGTCCAGAGCAGACAGGTCGAGGTTGTCGAGGTCAGTGAGCTCATCGAGGTTGCCGAGGTTGAGATTGAGGTCGCCGAGGCTGCCGAGGTCAAGTCCGCCTAGCTCGCCGAGTCCAAGCTCCAGCTCGCCGAACAAGTTGTCGGAGGCCTTACTGTCGCACTTCAAGCCGCAGCCGAGACCGGGACCATCGCAGAGGACAGGCGCGACGGGAAAGGGCGTCGTCGAGAAAAAGCCGCTGGCGATGGAAGCGGCAGCGCGAGGCTCATGTCGACAACCTCCTCTGGTCGCCGCATGCCCTGCACAGGCATCATGCTCAAAGATTGCATCATATGCGGCGTCGTCTTGTACTTGTGGTCCACTTTGCTTGTGTTGTTGCTTAGAGACGAGTGTGCCGACTTGCTCTGTCTCGACCCTTCGCCTGCCGCGTCAGATGGAAGGCGAGAACGTGTGGTGTCACGTGCGGCGAGCGAGTCCATCGTTCCATTGCCACCGCCGCTGCTTGGAATGGAAGCTAGCCAGCCACTAACAATTTTTTTGTCCCCACTCCACCCCCCACCCCCCATCCCCACTCGACAGTTGTGGTTCAGCGCGGCTTCTCCTCTCCTCCCCCCTCGTGGTGGCCTCCTTGCCAGGCGACACGGCTTTGCGCACCAGAGCCTCACTTCACTCTGGCCACATAGCAGGAGACTATGGGGTGTGGATCGTCGCGGGACATACCGCCGGCGAGCTCCAAAAGCCGGAACAGCCCACGGCCTGCGCGGCCGAGAACGCGGCGGTCGTCGTCGTCGTCGTCGTCGTCGTCGCACCGTGGCCGGCGCTCCGGCGATGGCGGCCGGCGCTTGTCGCGGACCTCGTCGACGACATCGATCTCGTCAGGCCTGCCGGGTACAGACACCTCGTCCGACAACCTGTCGGCGTCGGACGAGGCTCTGCTCGATCGCATCGCCTCGCGCCACGACATCGATGTCGACGGCCTCTCGGCCAAGGAGCGCAAGGAGCTGCTCAACTGTACCTTCCGCCCGGCGACCAATAAGCGCTCGGCGCGGCTTGCCGCCCGCGCCCGCGCCCGTACTGGTGGCCGTGGCAACAAGCCCATTCACGACCGCCTTGCCCGCCGACCGCCCAAGCGCATCGTCGTCACCTATAGGCCTACCAAGGATGAGGCCTTCCTCACCTACGTCAAGCCTGGCGAGCCCGGCGCCGAGCACTACGGCATCTCGGTTGCCAAACGCAAGATGATTCGCTCGCACAACAACGAGCTGAATGCGCTCTCGCAGCGCCTCAAGGACGGCACGTCTGGTACTGGGCCCTCGACCCGCTCCTCGTCGTACCGCCAGGTCATCGACAAGATCAACCATCTTAACCGCACCATCGGCATCATCACCGCCGCCCTCGAGCAGGCCGAACACAAGCTGTTTTACTCGTTCGAAGAGTGGTACGAGAAAGAGTACGCCCACTTGCCGCCGCCGCCGTCGCCGCGCTCCCACGCCGCCGCCTCGCGCATCCAGGCGCTCTATCGCGGCTACGCTGTTCGCAAGCGCCCGCCCACTCCATACCACCTCCGCGCTTCGCCCGAGGCCCACGAAGCCGCTACCCGCATCCAGGCAGTCTATCGCGGCTACGCCGCCCGCCGCCGCCACTGCGTTGGTCCCGGCGGCTACCACTACGGCAACGACGATCCCTACGGTGACTATGAAGACGCCGGCTACTATGATGACGGACCTGGCCCGGGTGCCGACGGCTACTACGACACAGCTCTTTACCCAGACGGCGATGACGATGGCTACGGCGAGTATGACGCTGCAGACGGCGGCAACGTTCCGCCGTACGACATGGACTACGAGCCGTACCCGTACTCGGACGACGAGCGCTGACGCTCGCCCCGAGCCTCCGGGCCGCGCCTTAGAAAATATGCACGTTGATGCCGGCAAGCGCCTCCTCGGCTGTGTCCTGCACCCGCGCCACATCGTTTTGCGGCGATGCCGTCGCTGGTTGCTGGTAAAACACTTGCGTGCCGGCCGTCTGCCGCGCGTAGAGCACTCCCAGCGAGTTGCCCAGCGCGAGATGCGTCACCGCCCCGCCCGCAAAAACGTCGTGCGCCATGCACGTCGCAAACACAAAGTTGGCGTCCATCGACGATTCGACCACAGGCACGTTGCCAAATCCGTTGCGCGTGAGCTCAGAGTGCACAAAGTACTTGAACGGCACCTCGCTCCGCCTCTGTCCCGCAGGCCCCACCCCGAAAACGTCGATGCGTACGCCAGCGACGGCACGCCCGACACCGGGCTCGGCTCCGCGTCCTCATCAGGCGGAAGCGCAGAGTACGTCATCGCTGCTGGATACAAGCCCGACGAGATGCCCACACGCGGCTGCGGCGAGTAGTACAGCGATGACCTTGGAAGCTCGTTCCCGCCCGTCCCGTACATTCCACGCCCACCCACAGGCGTGCCCGGCGGCGAGTCAAAGCTCAGGTACCCGCCAGGTCCGCCATAGCCCGACATCGACGTCGAGATGGCAGACGACATCGAGGTCGAGTGCAGCGACGTGTTGCCACCGCGCCCGCCGTCGTTGTTGCCGACACCCGGCCCGCCGGCTCCGCCCACAGGCGTCGACGCACCCGAGCTCCGCCGTGCCCGCCCCAGTCCACCCGGCAGATCGCGCGGAAGGTAGAACGTCCCGCCCGGCCCGTACGCCGGATACGCCGCAAAGTTTGGATGTGTAAAGCCCGCGCCCGGCACCCCATCGCTGCCGCCCACATCGTCGTCACCGCGGTCGGAGCGGCCCAGCCGGCAGAGTACGCTCTGCAGCTGTGCCAGCCGCGGTCGCGACGTCAGCGCCAGCTTCTTCACGTGCCGCACATCGTACATGGCCGAGATGTCGAGCAGTACCGCGAGGCTCACGCGTGAGAGCGAGAGAATGTACAGTCCCACATACGCCCCGGCCTCAGAATCCTGCTTCAGCATCTCCGGCACAGCCTGAGACGCCGCCGCTCCGCGTCGCTCGGTCTCGCGCCCTGCGAGGCTCGCCAGCTCGGCCCGCGTGAGGAAGACTGGCTGCATGATCGAGTCCTCGCCCGCTGACGTCGCCGAGACCGCGAGCCCCGAGATCGTAGCAGATCCCGCCATCGAGAGAGCAGAGACAAGCGACGACTGCGACGGGGAGGCAGGCGATGCCAGCCCAGACCGCAGCATGTTGGCTCGGTGCGGCGTCGCCGGCAGGCCGAGCGAGCCGAGGCCTCCAAATGAGCCACTCAGCCTGCTGCTGCCGCCCTCACCACCGCCCTCGCTGCCGACGCTGGCAAACGCCGACGAAGGCGGCGATGCCAGTGCGTCTTTGAGTGCCGCCACTGCCGCTGCCGCAGACGGCGATGCCACGTTGGCCTTGCGCGACCGCCGCGAGCTCGAGGCCACAGACGCCGCCGGGCTCGAGCCGCGCGACCCGGCATCGCCGCAGCCCAATCCGGACGACGACGACGCCAGCGAGCGAGCGCCTGTTGCACTCGACTCGCGCCCGATGCCTGCAAGAGAGCTCAGGCCCGCGCTCACCTCACCATTGCCCGCCCCGCTCCCGCCGCCGTCGGCGACTCCGCTCCCACCGCCTTCCGAGCCGTCGGTGGCAAACGGCGCCAAAACCGACTCGTCGAGCCGCGTCGACGCCGCCACGCAGTTGGCCGTCAGCGGCTTGTGACCGAGGCCTAGCATCTTGAGTCGCGCAATGATGAGCGCCGCCAGCTGCGGCGGAACATTCGACGCCAGCTCGCGCCGCTCGAACAGGACGACAGCACCGAGGTTCCCGGCCTCGGCTGTGATGGCCGAGACTAGCTGCGACGCGCTCACCACTAGCCGCCGGTGAGTGTCAGGAACCGGCGCCCGCGGGACAGTCGCAAAACCACGCATCAGCGGAAAGTCAGTAAGCAGCGGAACGAGCGCGCCACAGCCGGCCGAGAGCGCAGCACGGAAGCCCTCGCCGCGGGCACGCAGATCGTCAAACGGCCCTGTAAAGAACTGCAGCGCAGAAATGGCGGCGTCGAGATCGGCCCTCAGCGCTGCATCCGGCTCTAGCACCGACGCCGTGAGCACAAACGAGACGCCCGAGACCTGCGCGTATGCCACCTTGTGCCGCTCCAGCACTATGACATCGGGCTCCTCTCCGGCCGAGAACGCCCGCGAGAAGCGAACGATCGACGCAACACCACCAAGCAAGAAGAGCTGTAAGCCAACCGGCGCATCTTGTGGAAAGCAGAACAGCACCATGTCTTCCGGCGGATCGTCGTCTGAGGCACAGAGCGACTCGTCGTAGACCAGGAACGTCCGTGTCAGCAGCTCCGATCCGCTCCCGTTTCCGCCGCCTTCGCCCTCACCACCACCACCCAGCACAGAGCCCAGGCCCGAGACACCCAGGCCTGACGCGCTCAGACCCGATGTGCCCAGGCCTGACCCGTTCAGTCCGCTCAGCCCGTTCAGTCCGTTCAGCCCTCCAAGGCCGAGCCCGCTCCCCTCGCCACCACCGCCGCCCACGCCGCCGCCTTCAGCCTCGTACCCCATGAGGTACGAGAACGACATCCGGTGCGAGTTGGTGCACGCGCTATGTCCGCAGCGTCGGTGTCGTCGTCCGTTAGTCGGGTCTGTCTCCTCTCGTCACCTTCGCCCTCTGCCCCGCCCCGCTCCACTGTGGCTGTCAGACTTTGTCGACTGTCGTTCTGCCAACACATTCGCTCGCCCCCCCCATGGACACTGCTCCATCAAGGTCGTCTTTAGTTTGTATGCTTATCTGTCTTCTCCACAACAAACTCCCAAACCCTCCGCATCGAATGCTGTCGAGAGCGAGGGCGTCATTCCGTAGCAGCTGTCGCCGGTCATCGGTGATGCCGGAACTGTCGTCTCGCCCATCGGTGACGGAGGGACGGTGATCTCGGCGTCCGAAACCATGTCATCGGTCCAGCAGCCAGAGTTGCACCTGCCTTCCGCTTCGATTGTGAGACCTTGACCCGGCGGCGGGCGGTCCAATCGGCGGGGAGGGAGGGCAGGCGGCGTGATGGCCACGCCTGCCGTTCCGTCGCGCGACACACTGCCGCGTCCAGGCGAGTCAGCCGGCGTATGGTTGGCGGCAGCCTCGCCCTTGATCGCCAGTGGCGGCGGCGGCTGGATCAAAATCGGACTCGAGCCAAGCTCAGACTCGTCGCCGGTCATCGAGAGCTCGACTGACACCGAGCCGTCGCCAAATGAGAGCGTCCGTCCCGAGTCGGAGCGCAGCTCGGTGAGCTCCATGTCCGACTCGTATCCGCCATAAGTGGCAAAGACCTCATCGACCTCGGCCGCATCGCGCTGTCGGATCCGCCACAGCTCGTAGCCGGCACCCGCCGTTACAACCAAGAGCAGGCCAACGAGCGCCGATATGACCACCGTGTCGCGCAGCGGCGCCGACGAGCTGATCGTCCCGCCCCACAGCAGCACAACCGAGCCGTCCAGTGTCAGTGCGTCCAGCACGTTGTGGTGCGCCTCCACATACGGCTTGTGGCCCGCAACCGCGGCGCCGGCGCGGAGCGCAAGCATAAGCAGCGCCACAACCGTCGCCTTGACCGTCGGGGATTGCAGCGCGCACACTACCACTACCACCGCCAGCTTGCGCCCCAGAATGGCGAGCTCGTACCAGAACAGCTCTGGCTTGTACTTGGCCACAAGAAACGCGTACCGCGAGCCAAAGGCAATTGGATCCAGCTGCGAATGCTTTCGCCGCAGGAAGACCGCCAGTGCAACCGGCACACTCAGCCCGTAGCCGAGAGCGACGATGAGAATGAGCGGAAGGAGCGAGTTCCACGCCGCGGTGTAGCACCGACGCTGAGGATTCGACGTCATCACCACGATGCCGTCGCCGACGTTGGTGCAGTCGACATACCGCAGCGCCGCATACATCAGTGGGAGGTAGAGCAGCAGGATGGTCTGCAGATATCCGCGCCCGCCCGCGCCGATCAGCGCCGGACTCGGGCGCAGCAGTGCCCGCTTGCCGTCGGCCTTGCCGTCGGCCACCTCGCGGTTGTGGTGCGCGTTGGTCACCGCGCTCCCCACAACAATCACCATGCCAAACGGCAGGAGGAAGAGAACCGGCATTGCCATGGTCATGCCCCACTTGAACATCCACACGTCGCCGACGTCGAGCCCGCACTCGGGCGCCGCCAGATCCAGGTTGAGATTAACCAGCGAGACGGCATCAAATATGGCGTCAGCGACCGGATGCCACTCGAGCTGGATCGTGCCGTACAGCGCAACAGCCTGCAGCGTGTTGAGTGCAATAACAAACGCCGCGTACCCGTACACCTTGGTGTTCCGCGTGTTGATCCACACTACGCCCGCCACGTATCCAAAGACAAGCAATACCAGCGCGATAATAACCACTACGTTTGAGCCTTTGCACTTGCGGCACTCGTTGTTGAGCCGATAGTATCCGGATGCACACCGCGCGCACAGCCGACCGGCGTACCCGGCCGCACAATGCCCGCCGCCAGCGCACGCCGTCGGTCGCGGACACGCCACAAATGCGCTTCCGTCGTCAGTCGGCTCAAAACCGGGCGCCGCCCGCGGCGGCGTGACGCCACCGTCGCAGATTGCACCAGCTGGGCACGGCACACATGGTTTGTCAGCCCTGCGCTTCCCCTCTCCAAACCAGAACGTGGGCAAGCAAGTGCAGTTGAGGAACGATGTCGAGCCCTCTTGGGAGGTGGTAAAGCCTGGACACGTTGGGCACACAACCGCGTTGACGCTGTCCGAGTACGTCCCAACTCCGCATGCAGCGCACTTGACCCCGTCGAGCACCTTTGTGCCAGGCTCGCACGTCGTAGCCGCGTTCATCACAAAAGGCGCGCCCGGAATGGCGCGCCCATCTATTTCAACCAGCAGCGTGTACGTTCCGCCGTCCGGCACCTTGACGTCAAACACCAGCCACGCCGCATCCAGCGAGATGACCTGCACCGCCGACGCTATGACCGTCACTCCCTGCCGAACCTGGACCGCGATCGCACCCGTGTCCGGTGCCGCCGCCAGGCTATTACCGTACGCATCCCACAGCTCAACATTGAATCGCGTCTCCGACCCAGTCTCCACCTCGAGCACACCCGAGTTTGGGAGGCCGACCAGAGCGCACGCTGGGCCCCACACCGGGCCGGCTTCCGCCGTGACTGCCAGCGTCCATGGCGCAACCACAAATGCCATGTCGTTGAGCCCAAGCTCAAACACGTAGTTGCCTGTTATCGTTGGCACCGTTAGCGCCACATCGTACTCGCCGACCGTCACATACGTCGCCGCCGCCAGGTTGGCGCCGTTCGCGCTCGGCGCTGTCATTCGCGCGTACGGCTCGTCGGCCCCGGTCCCTGTTGGGTTGGAGAACTCATCGCGGACGTAGACTTTGTACGCCACGACAGACCCAACCTCGCGGACCATCTGCCCGCTGCTGCTGCCAGGCACGACCGCGTACGACGTTGTGATGTTGAAAGATGAGCAAAACGCTATTTGGCCCGTACTCCACGTCGAGTCGCCGAGGCAAACGCGGGAGGCGCCCCCCACCAGCGAGTAGCCAGCATTGCACCAGTAGCTGCAGGTCTCGCCAAACGCAGCCGGACTCGACAAGCTCGATCCGCCGTCGCATGCCACATTGCCTGCCGTTGGCGCGATAAGCGGCGGGCAGGCCACAAACCGGCACACGGCTGGACCGAGCCCGTCCCACATCGGCCCCACACAGCTCCTGTTCGCCGACCCCTCGACCAAATCGAGGCCAGTGTCGCACGAAATCGTTGCCAGCGATCCAGCATACCCTGCATTGCTAAATGAAATCGTCCCGTTGGTCGGGGCAGACAGCAAGTTACAGGCGTACGGCGGCGGCGGAGAAGGCGGCGGCGGCGATGGCGGCGGCGAGGGCGGCGGCGATGGCGGCGGTGATGGGGGCGGCGGCGAGGGCGGTGGCGGCGGCGGCGATGGAGGCGGCGGCGGCGATGGGGGTGGTGGTGGCGACGGTGGCGGGCCGCACCGCACGCTGGCGGCCGGAGGATCCCACTCAAGGCTCGCCGTGCATGTCGTCACGCCTCCCGGCGCGCCAAACAGCGTATCACCGCCGTCGCAGTTGAGCGCGAGCGAGTCGCCGCGCGGCGCGCTGTTGTCGCCTGTGATGGTATGCGGCGTCGCGGAGCCACCCGCATAGTTGAACGGCGTGCAGACTTTGTAATATCGGAGCTGTAGAACAGTGTTCCGTCCAACGCCGTCGTTCGCTGACAACGTGCACGCCGAGCCTGCCAAGCCGCACGCAAGCGACGAAGTCTCGAAAACAAACCCATCGGCAAAGCTGGGCTCGTTGATGACGTCCGTCAGAGTCGCCGCAAATGCTGCGCCGGTACCGAGAGTAAACAACGAGACGTCGCTTCCGTCCATGGAGGCTGCGAATGTGCCCGGCGCGTAGGCAATGTCGTTGAGCGCGCCATCTGCTGTCCAGGGACTGTCCGAAAACGCGGCTTCGAGCTCGACCTTGCTCACGTTGGCCACCCGAGTGACAATGTCCCCGCTACTAGCCGCAGCACTCAGTTGGCCGATCCGGAACATGGTGCTTGGATCCACAAAGATCGTCGAGGTGGGTAAAAACGGCTTGCAGCTTGTCGCCGCGCGGTAGTCCTTTAGCGCAATGGAGGACTGCTCGCTCTTTCCCATGCCATACGGCGAGGCAAGGGCCTGCCCAGTAAATCCCGGGCAGGCTACATCAGCAGACTCTAGTGTAGCAGCCTCTACCAGCACTCTGCTCGAGCTGGTCAGCAAAACGAGGCCTACAAGGCCAAAGAGAGCTCGCCTGTAGCATGGCCATGAGTCACGCGTGCGGAACATGGTGCGGCACGTGAACGGAAAAGTAGCCTTTTTTCGGGCTGTCGGCGAAACGTGCCGAGACGAGCGGAATGGTTTTCGCAGTCGATCCGAGTTGAGCTCGCGCAAATGGCCACACTCTGTTTTTCACTCTCCAGTGCAACCACTCGCCTCAATTGGTACGTCCTCCGAACGCCTTGCGCTTTGCCATACCGCATGCCCTCCCTCCCCTCCTTCCCCTTGCATCCTCCTCCTTCTCCCCCCACCTCCCCCACACTACCTACGCATGCGTCCATGGAAATGGGTCAGCTGCAAGCCATCTGTTGTTGTTGCCGGTGCTGTGGCTAGCCCCATGCCCCTTGGCCTCTACCTCGTCTACACCGTCTGGGCATCAGCCTCTGTTTTTGTTTGCGCCCACTCTGCCCACCCTTCCTTCCCCTCGCACACGCCCGTCCACGTCTACACGACCGGGATACAGCCTCTTCCCGTCGCACGAACATGGAGCACACCAGCATGGCCTTGACTGCCTTTGTCTATCTATTTCTATGCCATCTGTTCGATGCCTCTCCATTCTCGCACATTGTGTGTCTCGGATGCCCAAAGACCATTGGCGATCACTCACTCAACCCAATCTGTTCCCCCCTCCCCTACCACCGCATACAGTTAACATGGTGAAGGCTCTCCCCTACCAGAAGAAGAAGGTCGTCAAGCGGTCGAAGAAGTTCACCCGCCACCAGTCCGGTATCGTCTTCGGCCCGTCCAACGGTCGCTACTCCGTCAAGGTATGTCCCTCTGTCTTGGTCGTGTTTGATTTTTACTCCCCCCTCCCTTCCCCCCCCCCCTACACCCACCCACCCACTCACCGCACCCTCGTCGTCTACCTCCCTCCCCCCCACAGCCGTCGTGGCGCAAGCCGAAGGGTATCGATGGCCGCGTCCGTCGTCGCTTCCGTGGCGCCCTCCCCATGCCTAACATTGGCTACGGCACAGACAAGGTGACCCGCAACCGCGACCCGAACGGCTTCTACCGCTTCAACGTCCGCAACGTCGCTGACCTTGATGTGCTCCTGATGCAGCACCGCAAGTTTGCCGGCGAGATCTGCAAGAGCGTCTCGGCCCGCAAGCGCCGTGCCATCGTCAAGCGGTATGTTCCTCCTTCCTTGCCCTCCCTCCCTCTCTCTCCCCTTGCCCATCTTTCCCCCGTTTTATTTTCCCAGCTGTCCGTCGTCGCCCTCTCGACGTCGCGCTTCTGGTCTCGCAGGCATGCGACCTCCTAATGATGATCACAAATCCGACGCTTACGGCGGGTAGGACCGCCACTCGTGGTGAAACAACAAGAGCTTTTTAACCCTGAGGGGATCGCATTGCCTCCCTGGCACAGCATCTGCTCTCTCTCCCCACGACCTTCACTCACCTCTCTGCCCCCTTCCTCTGATTGCCACAGCGCCCAGCAGCTCGACATCAAGCTCACCAATGCTCATGCCCGCCTTCGCCAGGAGGAGGACGAGTAAACCCAAGAAGTACGACCAGCCAGGCAACTGTGCAACCGTCATGTGGTACGCGACTCTGCCCGATCCCCTCTCCCTCTCTTTTTCTCTCCCCGAGCTGCGCGCTGCGCGTTGTCGCCCCGACACGCCCCGCCGCTGCTCGCTTCGCAGGCATGCGACCTCCTAATGATGATCACAAATCCGACGCTTACGGCGGGTAGGACCGCCACTCGTGGTGAAACAACAAGAGCTTTTTAACCCTGAGGGGATTGCCATGCCCATGCCATGCCCTTCCTCTCGTTCTTTCCTCCTCATCACCCACTCACGCTGTTTGCTCGTTCCTTGCGCTTGATTGTAGCTACGATAAAACAAAATCTCCCCCTGCTCCCACCCCGATACTCCCCCGCACTGCGCATCAGTACTTTACATCATCGGGTAGGCTTCCTGCCGGCGGCGGTGCGAAAAGACCTCCTCGCGGGCAAGCGCCGAGCCGTGACGGTCCACGCCGACGCGGAGCATCTCACGGAGGCGGCGGACAAGGAACTGCACAAACTCGCTGGCCGAGCCCGAGGCCGAGTCCAGCTTGCGGAGCGAGTCGAGGACCGGCGTGATGCAGGCCGAGGCGTCCGACGCGAGCTGGGCCAGCTCCTTGACGGTGAGCGAGTCTGCGTCGCCGGCAGCGCCGTTGCCCAGCGAGGTCGAGGATGAGGCTGCGCCGCCGGGCACAAACAGCTCAAAGTACCACTGCAGGTGCCGGAGGAGAACAAGTAGCGTGTTCTCCAGCGAGAACCAGAGGGTGGCAATGTCCTCTCTCTTGAGACGCATCGACTCGACGAGTGCCTGGGCAGCCTCTTCCTCGGCAGCCTCCATTTCGGCCATCGACCCGGCCCTGCGCTCGAGCAGGTCGAGTTGGGTAAACGTGGTCTGCAGCTCGAGGGCGCACGACGAGACGTAGATGACGAGGGTGGCGAGCGGTGGCGAGCGCGCGCGGGTCTGGATGGCCAGCGGCACTTCAACCGGCTCGGCCGCCGTCGCGCCCATCAGCGCCCCGCTGAGCTCGGGCGAGAAGAGCAGGCCCGAGGCCGTGAGCGGGAGCTCGTCGCCCGCCGCTGGCGACGAGACCACCGTGCAGTAGCCGATGACGTTGCGGCAGATGACCCGGATCGACCGTGCGGCAGCCTCAAGGATCGTCGACGGGTGCAACTTGGTCTCCCACCGCGCCGCGACCGAGTACTTGGCGAGGAGCGCGAGGAGGTGGCCGTGAAACTGCCACCCAAACTCCGGCAGCAGTGCCTCCAGCCGCTTGGCCTTGTTGACCCGAGCCAGCGCGTAGAACAACGCGGTCATCATACGCACCTCGGCCAGCGACTCCTTGCGGACCGTCGGCGCCCGGTCCTTGAGTACCAGCAGGACGAGCTGGGCGTGCGCAGAGAGAAACGCGACAACTTGGTCGAGTGCCGCAGATCCAAGCGAGCTCAGCAGCGCCGTGAGGAGCTGGAGCACAGGCATGAGCAGCGAGTGGTACGTCTCTACCACCACAGGCGCAAGCGTGTCCAGCACCGACGGCTCGGGCCGGTAGTCCACAAAGTGGCACGAGATGAGGCTGTGGACGAGGCCGCTCTCAATGAGTGCCCGCGCCCCGTTGTGCGTCCCGGCCAGCCGCAGCAGCAGCGCCATCTTGGCCTCGTACACGTGCAGCGCACGGAGCGCTGCCGCACTCCCGAGCTCGACCCCGGTTCCAGTCGCCGACGACGTGAGGACAGACGAGAGCAGCGAGTCCTGCTTGTCAAGGTCGTCGAGGAAGACACGCAGGTATCCGTGCGTCTTCATGTACTGCAGCAGCGAGCCCGAGCCGACGGCGGCAACCAGGACGTTGAGCGCGCTAAAGGCGAGCGCCTGCCACACTTGCTTGCCGTGCGACGCGTCGCGGCAGAGCACGTCGAGTAGCGCCTCGCCCGCGGCGGCCACAATCTTAGCGTTTCCGCTTGCAATCGCTGACCGCCGGCTGGCCAGCGCCTCGGCTGGCGCCCGCGACTCGGGCTCGCCCCACGCCGACTCGTTGAGCGAGCTTCCCGCGTCCTCGCCGAGGTGCTTGGCGCTCAGCGTCACGTCCGGCTGCGTCAGCTGCAGGTACGCCATCAGCGCTGCGTACAGGTTGCCGCGCTGGACTTGGTCGGACCCGTGGCGCAGCAGCGCCGCAAGAATCCCGCGGAGCAGCGCGTGAAGGTGGTTGACCGGCACGTGTGTCGTCTGCCGCGACGAGACCTGCACCTGCAGGAGCTTGGACAGGATGGCGAGGACGACAGAGGTCATCGACCGCGCCACAGCCTTGGCGCTCACCCCGCGCCCGAGGAGGAACAGCAGCGAGTCGAGGACCATGAACAGGATCGACTCGCGTGACTCGGAGCCAAGTAGCTCGTAGCACCGCGCAAGCGTGGCGAGCACAATCTGCGACCACGCTGTCATGACCTCGACCCGCGCCATGAAGCGCTCATGGTACCCGTTCCAGTCGGCCGCCGCCGCCACCAGCTGGTGCACCACCGACGCCGCGTCCGAGCTCTCGTCGCCCACGCCCATCTCGCTCATCCCGGTCCCAGGCATCATGCCCGCCCGTAGGTGCGGCGCAGCCATGAGCACCCGGTACAGCGCCGGCACGTCAAAGCACTCTACGCCCGCTGCGTTCTTCGAAATCGTGGTCGCCACAAGGCCCTCGTCCAGCGGAATGCTCGGGAACGGCGGCTCGACCTCGTCCACCTCCTGCAGTGAGTACAGTACCTCGAGGAGCTTCATCCGAGCCTGCTCCACTCCCGACGCCTCGCCGTGGGCGCTCGCAGCAGCGTCCCAAAACGACGGCAGCGCACCAGGCTCGCCTCGCTGCCGCGGCTCCGAGCTCGAGTACAGCGCCGTCAGCAGCCGCACTGCCTGCGGCCGGTGGACCGTGTTCGGCCCGCCAGCCACATGCAGCTCGAGTGCAATCGACTTCAGAATCCACGACGTGTACCGCAGACGGAGCACCGGCCCGGCCGACACGTCCGGCAGCTCAGGCTCAATGGTGTAGGCAGTCCTCAGCACCGCGTACGCGCCCTCAAAGTAGTCCACATCGCGCGATCGCAGCAGTTGCAGCGTCGCCGTCGACGTCGCAGGCGTCGAGACAAGCGCATGCACCAGACGCGCCGTACCCTCGGCAAGCGTCGGAAAGTAGACCACAAACTCAGGGTCGGCCGCCAGCTGGAGCAGGATGTTGAGGCAGTTGTGCGCGATCGAGACCAGCCGCGACGCCGCAAGCCCGCGCTCGAGCTCGAACCCACAGAGCAGATGAGTCATCGACGGATACGGCGCATTGAGCGAGACAAGGAGCAGCTCGAGCACCGCCTCGCGCGTCCGGTTGACGTAGTACTCAGCCACAATGTCTGCAGAGAGCAGGCCCGACGAGACAAGCGCCTCGACGTCGACCACCGCGCCCTCGACGTCGGGCGTGAGGAGGAAGAACGGGTCGTTGAGCGCCAGCGACGCCAGTGGAGGCACCGAGAGGAGCGGGTGGAGCAACTCAGGCTCCAAAATCTCCGGCGTCCCGTCCTCCAGCCGCCCCACAAGCTTGAGCGCAACCTCGTCCGCCATGTTGAGCGAGGAGAGGACCGGGACGAGCGGCACGCCCGTCGCCGAGAGCGACTGCAGCACCTTGACCGCGTTGTAGACGAGCTCCGCGCAGTGGCGGTACGACACATAGTTGGCAATCGCCCCGAGCACCTTCTTGCTCTGCCGCAGCGACTGGTCGAGCCGCACCGCAGACGGCAACACCGTCGCCGACCGCAGAAACTTGAGAAAGACCGGCTCGAGCTCAAAGGTCCGGTTGATAATGCGAAGGCAGAGGAGAATGCACGCCTCGAGCGCCTCGCCGCCGGCCTTGAACCGGTCGCCCTCAAGCGCGTCCACGCCGACCTCGAGGACAGAGACAAGCTTGCGGTAGAACGGTCCGCCAGAGAGCATGGCCGACATCAGCGCAAAGCCTGGCGTGCGGAGCTTGGACACTTCTTCCGGCTGTGCAGCAAGTGTCGCGTCGTCCAGAAAGTCCGACTCGACCGGCACGTACTGGCTCAGCAGCCGGTCAAAGACAATGAGCGCCGCCCGCGCCACCTCCCACTTTTGCCCTGTAAACGCGTAGCCGCGTGTGTCAAACTTGAGCCACACATGGCCAGCCACAAAGTTAAAGTACGGGAGGAAGCCCGGGTCGCGCATGCCAAACCCAAGCCGCTGCGGAACGCCGCTGCGGATGAGGTTGGTGAGCAGGAGGAGAAACGCCAGCGTCTCTGGATAAGCCTCGTCCCGGGCCTCGATCTCCTCGAGGTCAAAGACAATGCCGGCGAGAGGCGGGCCGCCTGCCACCAGCGCCCGGCTCGCCGCCATGCTCGCCTCGTGGCCCATCACCCCGGTTCCGTACTCGCGCCCACCGCCGCGCGGAATGAGGACCACGTCTGCCGATGGCTTGCCCTCGAGAGCCGCCATGAATGCGTTCGGGTTCCCGTCGCGCGGGATCGGGAGCAGGCCAGCCTGCTCGACAAGCTGCCAAACACGCGCGCAGAGCTCGGGCGAGCGCGCAAAGGCGGCAATGACCCGCAGCAGGTGTGCCTTGAGCACGGCAGGCACCTGGCAAGCGAGGAGGCCAAAGAGCGACTGGAGGCCGGCCCAGTGCCGCGACGACTCCATGGCCATGCGCGCCTCGGCGTAGTGGGTCAGCACCGTCTCCATGAGCCGGAGAATGGCGCAGAGGCCCATGACGTCGTCGTGGTGCAGCTCGCGCGCCACCCGCGGCGCGAGCGCAGAGTGTGACCGCGCGTCATCGCGTCGCAGCTCGGCCTCGTAGTTCTTGATGACCTCGAAAAAGTGCGCCCACCCGACTGACGCGTTGGGCGGCGAGTCCAGAAAGTAGTACGCCTGCTCGGCCGCCTCCGGTGTGTTGGCCAGCGCCGCCAGAAAGTCGAGGTACGCCACGTGAAGCCGGATCGTCACGTTCATGCTCGCCGACGTCAGCACGTCCGGCCGGTCAGTCCAGAAACGCAGCGCTCCCGGCCACTTGGAGTACAGAGCCGTGAGGAAGAAGAGGAGCTGCTCAAAGTCGTGCCGCGTTTCACCGCCCTGCCCGCCCGTCGTCATCTCGCGCCGCGTCGCCTGCTCGTCCTCCTGCTTGAGCTGAGTCACTTGCGACGGCTTCGACTTGAGGAAGCACATCATGAGCTCGTCGAGCTTGGAGACAAAGAACGGCGTGTCGCGCGAGGCCTCGAGGAAGAGCTTGGACGCGAGGATGCGCGTCCGCGCAAACTCAAAGACATTGTCGGCAACCGCCGCGCTGAACTGCGCCGCGTGGTCCGCCCACTTGGCATCGGTGACAAAGAGCGAAAACGCGAGGAGGACCAAGGCCCGGAGTCCCTTGGTGTGCGCCTCCCACGATGACGCGGTGCCGAGCAACTCGCGCATGTTCTTGCCAAACGCTTCGTCGGCCAGCAGCGAGTTGGTACGCTGGCTTGGCGACGCCATCGATGGCCCGCCCGTTTCCATATCCCGACTCGTCGGATCGAGCGCCGCCACCAGCGCAAGCGCAAGCAGGACCGCCACCTGGAACGTGGGGTCGTCGGCGTCGTCTGACCGTGCAAGCTTGGCCGTCTCCTTGAACACTGTCATCAGCTCGCGCACCGTCTTGGGCTCGCGGTAGCCCTGGTAGTAGATGTAGAAGAGCGTGAGCGCCAAGTGCTGCCGCTCGTCGATAAAGTACACCCGCCCGTCAGGGCCGTACTTGTTGAGCTCGGCGTCGGTGGTGAGAACCCGGTTGGCCCGCGTCACGAGCTTGGCCAGCTTGCTGGCCACATCGTGGACCGTCAGCAACTCGTCGGTAAACGCCACAATGCCCGCCTGGCGCCGTTGACCCTCCTGGCGCTGTCGCGTATCCTGGCACCGTCGATAGGAGTCGTCCATCCGGCCCTTGACCAGCTCAAGAAGCGCGAGCAGCAGAGCGCGCCGCTCCTCAAAGTACAGCTGCTTGGCCAGCCGCGGGACCTCGAGGTCCGGCTCGTCCTCGCCCAGCGGGCCCTCATAGCCCGGAAGCTTGCGCTGTGCCTCCTGCACAAACGCCGCAGCTACAATATGGTTGAGATTGAGGTCCTCAGCAAGCTCGTTGACCCGCTTGATGAACGTCGCCGACCGCTTGCTCTCGTTACCGTAGATGTTCAGCGGCGTCGTCTCGGCCTCGCTGACCTTCTTGGCGTCATCCGCCGACCGCTCCTACTCCCTCCCACGCCCCACGCACCACCCGCACACATCCACATACATGTACAGCACACCGTGAGCCCCTCTCTGCCCAGCATGCCCTCTTCTGCGCCACGCCCTGCCGCACCTTCTCCGGCGGAGAGCCGCCAGTCATGGATGGGCTTTTTCTGGCGCGCCCGCACCGCAGCGTCACCCACCCATCGGCCTCCCCCTCCCTCCTCCCCCTCACCACACCAGACTGCGTACAGGAAAGTGTAGCGGGTTCATGAACAGAGGCTTTGCTCTGCGCAGCTCCACCGACAGATCCTTGAATAGAAGCTGTCCATGGAAGCAGGCCACCACGGCCTCGGCCACCTGTGACCGTCCGCGAATGACGTCCATGGAGAAGAGGTGTGGCTGGGTCGAGGGGCTGGTGGTGTCCTCCAAGTCGCCGTCACCTCCAATCACTCCCCGACACCAAAATCATAGCCACGATCATGATCATGATCATGATCATGACCCCCCCCCCTCCCCCCCTCCCTGTACACTCCACCTCTCCCGATACTCATTCGCAACATGGCAGGAGTTGGACAAGTTAGGGCTGTGCCGTTGCCGCAGCCCGAAGAAAGCAATGTATGGTCGGAAATGTTATGGCTGTGGCAGTTGGCGTGTGTGTGTGTGTGTGTGTGGCATGTGAGCTGGCGGTTCTCCTGCGCTTCCACCGTTTGGACAGGGAGACAATGGGCATTGCGGGGGAAAACTCACAGAAGAAAGACGAACTTGCTTTGCCGGGGGGGGAGGGGAGTAGAAGACATGCCTCAGACTGGTGACCGATCTCTCGCGAGTGATGCCTGCGGACTTGCGGCTTGACTTTGACGTGGCAGGCTTCTCACTTGAGACCAACTTTATCGGCGTGGCCATGGATGATGTCGGCGTCCAGCTCATCTCGTCGAACCAGTGCCAACTGCGGAATCTGGCTACTGGATATCACTTGGTGCGGGCGTTCCTGGTGTACTCGGATCACACGTGTGTCAAGTCGGACATGGCGTACGTTGAAGCCGAGTTCTACGTCAAGCGGCAGCTCGTCCAGCTCGAGCGGCCGTTCATGTTTGGCCAGCCATCGATCATCACCATCCAGGCCGACCAGGTCATCGACTTTTTCGTCCACAACGTTGATCTCTCACCCGAGACCTATGCTGTGCGTATTGTTGTCGACAACGAGGTTGTTGACGACGTCGACGAGTGGGTTCCGTACGAGCTCGAGGGCCTGCAGCCCGGCGAGCACACGCTCCGCCTCACCCTCATCAACACCTTTGGCGAGGAGATCACGACTCCCAAGTATAACGCCATGGTCCACACCTTTTTCACCTAGTATGCACTCCTTACATGGCGCGAGCCCGCGCCGCCGCTCCTCCGCTGTCGGCCTGCAGGCCCGCCGCCGGAGCCGACGCCAGCAGTGGCGCAGACTCGGGGTCGAGACCCAGCCGCGGGCACGGCTTGGAGCGCGGCGGCGGCGGCGGCTCGATCTCTTCCAGCGTTGCCGTCGCGGTCTCGAGGTACTCGTACGACGAGGTGAGCCACATGAACATGCCGAGGAAGAGCGCCATGAGCAGGGCGAGGCCGTAGAAGACTGGCGGGCGAGCTCTAGAGACGTAGGGCAGCGAGAAGAGGCCGGCGTCGAGGAGCGAGCCCATGGCCTGAGTCAGGCACCACAGCGCCGTCACAATGTTCTTCATGGCGGGCGGCGCCTGCGAGTACGCAAACTCGAGGCCGGGTACGGCCACCATAATCTCGCCGAGCGAGATAAAGATGTACTGCGGGATCTGCCATGCAATGGTCACCGAGTTGGCCGGCTGCGAGTCGATGTAGACCTGCAACGTGCCAGTGAGGACGTTGGCGATCGAGACGGCCGCCATACCACACGCCATTCGCCCGAGCGTCGACAGCGGATGCCCACGGAGTCGCGCGTACAGCGGATACACCCCATACTCCATGATCGGGATGAGGACAACGCAGAGGATGTCGTCCAGCGACGGCATGATGTCCGGCGGAATCCGGATATTGCCCTTGAGCGTCAGCGACATCTGCTCGCCCTGGAAAATCCACACCGACGACTGGAGATAGAGCAGGGCCCAAAAGACAGGCAGTGGGGCAAAGACCTTGCAGATGTGCCCGAGCGATCGGAGCGAGTGCCACACAGCCCGCGGCGTCGAGACCGTGGCCGTCGGGTCGTGGCCCGGCGGCAGCGGCGGAATCCACTTCTTAGCAGGCACTCGCCGGTACCACACCACACCGGCCACAAACAACGCAAGCGCAAACAACGAGGCGCCGGCCACAGAGACGAGGATCGAAAAGTACGAGACGTACTCGCGGAGAACAGGTCCGCCAAACTCGCCCATCAGGTTGCCCACATTGCACAGCGCGTAAAAGATGCCAAACGACCGGACCATCGCCTCTTCCTGCCCAGGCCCAAACTGGTCCGCCACAAACACTGACTGGATCGGGTTGATCATGCCGTATCCCACAGCCGTAAAGGCGAGGCCGACAAACGCCGAGACAGCCTTGATCCAGTCTCCCAGCTCCAGCGCCCCAGGCACTGTCGATGCCATCATAATAAGCGCGCCCAGCGTCCAGATCGCCGCCGACCACACCTGAGTCACATAGTTGCCGAGCTTGTAGTCGGAGAGGACTGCACCCACGGGGCCAAACAAGTTGTACAGCGCCATAAAGATGTTGACAAATGCTGTCGCACGCGACTCGGACTCGCCGACATAGTTCTGAAAGTAGATGGCTAGAATGGCCTGCGTTCCCGACTGTGCAAACGACTGCAGCACAATGACCGCGTAAATCGTGTACAGGGCCCTCATCTGCCGCTGGCCGTTCTCGCTCTTGGCGTTGTCGGCCATGGCGATGACGAGGGGAGGGGGAGGACGGTATACGTAGCCGTGTAGCCCTTGCTCCACCTCTGACTGGGTAGTAGAGCCGAGAAGACCGAAGACCGACCGCGAGCGAGGGCGAGGGCGAGGGCGAGGGCGGGGGCGAGGGCGGGGGCGGGGGCGAGGGCGAGGGCGAGGGCGAGGGCGAGGGCGGGGGCGAGGGCGAGGGCGAAAGCGAGCGAGGTGAGCACGTGTGGCCGGCCGGTCAGCTGCCAGCCGTTTTGCTATCGAGTCCAAACCAAATCCATCATTCGGTTGAATGATTGAGGGGTTCGGCAAAAACTCGATGTAACTCAACACGCTCAGCTGTCGTTTCAACTTCGGCACGTTCACCTACTCAACATGTTCGAGAAAATGTTCAGTCAGTGCGATGTGGTCAATTCTACCGGTTGGCCAAGGGACGGCGGGACGCAGTCCGCCTGCGGTCGTCACACTCTCGGCATTGACCCTACACACTGCTCCCAAGTTCACTGTGGCAGAAGCATTGTAGGAAACGTTCTTGTGTGTGGATGGAGTCAAGGAAATGCACTAATGAGCGCCAGAGCAGCGGAGAGCCCCGGTGGGTCGACGACACCGATGTAGACATCGACGACGGCGTCGAGCCAGATGAAGCTGTGCCCTCACGTCATGCTCTCCGATCTCAGCGCGTGTCACTTCTCAAAGCTGCGGCGATGTTTGGGATGCTTTGTGCATACCTGGTTGTCAACTTGGTCACACAGATATTCATGTGGGAGGTCGGTGAAGGCGGGCCCGTCCGCCGCGCCAGTGCGTGTGTCTCTACCATCGCCACGGCCAGGGACGAGATGGCTATGGCGGCGGAAGCTGCTGCTACTGCTCGTAGATTGACGCCAAGACCGTTCCTTGGTGATCCGCTGTTGATGCTGCTGCTTGGGGGAAGTGATCAGGCGTTTCGCTTTCTATTGCGCATGCCGCAGTCGTCGTTCGATCAACTCGGGCAGCTCCTATTCGGTGACGATTGGATGATTGATCTCACTTCCAACCATACCCGCGGGCGAATGCAGGTTGTCCTACGCGCTGGTCGAGTTGGGAGGCCCCCTATCCACCCCAAGAAGGCGTTGGCCGTGTTCCTCTTTGTTCTTGGTCACGGTGCAATGCGACTCCGGTCTGCTGCCCTTCTCCTCAACGTAAGCGCCTCGTCCCTGAAGAACATCCTCGAGCGAGTGTCGCGGCGCGTGATGAAAATGATGCCATTACAGTGGCCGGATGTTGCAGAGATCACAGCCATTGTGCGTTCTCGCCAAGGAAAGTGGGATATGGACATCGCGGACTCGATCTCGCGCGGCGGTCAGCCTTTTGAGGCTAGTGAAGAGGCAAAGCTGCGACGCGCGTTTGCTTGTGTGGATGGAACTGACTTCTGCCTGGCTCAGAATCCACATGGCGACGATCAGATTGCGCTTCACGGGCGAAGGTCCGGCCCTCGCATTAGTGCTCTATGCACGGTTGCAATCGACACGGTGCAGTTCATCAACTGCGTCGTGGGGTTTCCAGCTTCGACGAACGATGTCAACATGTTGAAATTGAGCAACCTCTACGCTAATCCGCGTCGTTTCGGTATCAATCCAACCGGTGCCGGGTTCACCATTCTCGGGGATGCCATATTCCGTGGTACGGTGTTCCCCTACATTGTCACCCCGCGTTCGGGAGTGTCTGAGAGAAGGGATCCACAGTGCAGAGCAAGGAACTGCATCGAGCGTGCCTTTGGAGTGCTCAAGAGCCGCTTTCAGTACCTACTTCGTATGACCACAGAACTAGATCAGCTCAACAACTCGATGATCAGCGCTGCATTCCGCCTCCACAACTACTTGATGGCCGGGGTTCATGCCGATGACGCAACGGACTTCAGCGCCACCATCGATGTAAGCTCAGATGATGTATTTGCTGCCTTTGTTGAAGCAATCGAACCAGGAACGCTTGAACGAACTCGTCACTATCAACATCGTCGACCTGACTCTCTGACAGGTCGCCGATGCTGTTGAACGTGATCTTGTCCCACGTCGCCGTAGACTACAGTGAAGCTGCAATCTTGTCAAAAGTCACGGTCAGGTGCTTCAGTACATCAAGAGTACTAGTTGCCACGCTGAGAATGGCATCCTTGTGCTTCTGGTCGGCAGTGGCACTGGCCTCAAACAGCATGATGTGTTTCTCGGTCAGATCGACGAGCTTCTGAGAATCGGCCACGGAGTGGACCTTGCGCTTCTTCGCCGAGGACGGACATCCGCTGCTGTCGCCAGAACGACGCCGCTTGCGAGGCGTTTCAGCAGATGGCGTGCCCGGATCTGAATCGCAAGATGACGTCGTCCTCGACGAAGTGTTGCCGACGGCTCGTTCAGGGACGTGCACGGAGGTCCGATTCCGCCTTGTCGACTGCTCCTGGGACATGGACTCGAGCACATCGAACTGGACACTTGTGTCGTCTGAAGTGTCAATGGGCTTGATGAGAGGCTTGCGCCGGCCGGATGATTGCCAAGCCTGGGTGATAGTCATGTACACCTGATGCAGATGTGGGTTCCTGGGCGGCAGCGGCCCTTCGTCGGCCCGCTTCCCGGACTGGGTCAAGAACACCTCCTGCTCGCGCACCCTTGACAGGAGGCGGTTGAGTTGCTTGGACACAGTCTGGGTAGACACTTGCCCACCGTCATCAGTATTGCCCCACTTCTCGTTCAAGATCTTGGCAATGGACCTGTGCATTCTGCCGGCAGTGGAGCTGGAGGAGTCGTACTTCGTCACCACGTCGTAGTACGCCTGGGCTAGATCCTGCATTCTTCCGGGCTCTCCCCAGCGGACACAAACGCGCTTTTTGCGATAGCGTGACGATGTGGTCTTTGCCTTGCGAGGTGAGCTTCGTGCTTCAGTAGTGTCCACTTCTTGGCTGCATGGCGCAGCGGGTGGGGACAAGACTGCCGTCTCGACGTTGCTGGTGTTGTCAGGCAAGGCCTGCTGTTTGCCCTCGGAACCAGCAGTAGGGGGATTCACCTCTTCGGCGGTATCATGAGACGCTTCTGAAGCTGAAGCATGCTGCATTTCGTCGCTCTGTGGCATCACGAGGTCCTGATCCATTGCGGCAGTGGTGGTAGAATCTACCGGCTGTCTGCGTGGTGACAAGGACACCAACGTGAGTGTATAACTCCCCTAACCCCCCCCCCCCTACGCCAGCAATACCGTACTGAAGTGTCTCTCCCCCATCATGTCGCTGCCATATCGCCGAAACTGTGCCCTACCTTGCGTAAGGGTAAGTCGAGTGTGGTGCTCCAACTCACGTCACTGCTGCGTAGCTGAGCTTGTGTGCCTTCAAAATTCGTTCAGTTGGGGCTCAGCCTGAACAGAAACTGAACGCACGCTCAATGTGTATGCGTTCACTCACACAACTGAACGCCAACTGAACGAGTCCACCGAATTTTTGCCGATCCCCTGAATCGTTCGGCGGGAGAATTGCGGGCGGACGGGCTGTGGCTCGGGCCTCCCCACCTGGCCACAGCCACACCGCACCGCACCACACCGCACCACACCGCACCCCCCTACCCCTCCTCCTCCTCACTCACCCACCCACCCTCCCACCCTTCTGTGCCATCCCCCTCCCATCCCACTCCCTCCCCCCCTCACCCCTCAACCACATCTCCCTCACCTACACTCTCTCAAGTCGGGCCAGCGGGAGCCTAGACCACGGCAAGACACCCAAAGGCGCCCCCCCCCCCCCCCCCCACCGCTGCTGAAACGAGTGAGTGGAAATGAGCTCAGAACATCCAGACTGCCATGGCTCTCCTCCTGGGACGCCGCCATCGGCGTCATCGGCCTCGTCGCTCGAAGCCTCGGTCAATCGCCCGTTGCTCTCGCAGCCGAACATGCCCAGGCGCGGTGGGCGGAGCTCGCCGAGGTTTGGCGGAGGAGGTACATCGCCGAGGTTTGGCGGAGGTGGCGGAGGTGGTGCGTCACCGCAGGTCGGCCGCCATGTCCGCAACCGATCGGCCGGATCCGCCAGTCCGTCGCATTCGCGCCCGCGGTCGCGTCCGCGGGTCCTGCCCGAGCTTGCCATCTTTCACACCGATGGACCTACGTTGCTCGAGAACTTGCGTGAGCGCGAGGCCAAGCGCGTGACGCTTGACGAGTCTGCGGCATCGAGCGCCCACTATGCACAGCCGGTCATCAACGTGACCAACGTCGATCCGGACTCGATGGCAGGCTCAAATCCGGACGCGCTGCCGTTTGTCATGCCGCTGCACACGGCCACGCCGGCGATATACGAGCTCGACGGAAGCCCAGCTAATACGTACAACATTGACGATCCTCTCGTGAATCTCTCGTCACTCGCGCCATTTGCGCCCAAGAGCGCTGCAGCACGTGCGCGCGCCGCGGCCGCCACGGCAGAGGCCGGCTCGGGAGCACCCTCGCCACATCTTGTGGGAGCGTCGTCGCCGTACTCAGCCGAGTTTGGCCCACGGACTGCCGCTGATGGCACCGTGAACGAGGCCGACGACGACCGCCGCCGCCGGTCGTGGGCCTCGGTCTTCTGCTGCTGCTGCTGCCGCAGCTCATCGAGCGTTACACCAGCAAGCAAGGTGCGTGCGTCGCGATCGGCGGTCGAGATCGGGATGCTCGGCGAGGAAAAGACCGGCTCCAAGACTGTGTTCCACCCGAACGCGCGGGGGCACCAAATCTTCGACCTCATCATCGCCATTGTGCTCATGTACATGGTCATGGTCATCCCGTTCCGGGTCTGCTTCTCGGTCGAGGCAACAGGCTTCTTTTTTGTCATAGAGTCGACGTTTGACGTCCTCTTTGTCATCGACATCATTGTCAACTTCCGAACAGCCTTCTACCGCTCCGGCGTTCTTGTCACCTCGCCGCGTGAGATCACATGTAACTACCTCAAGGGCTGGTTTGCCGTCGACTTTATCTCGGCGCTGCCCATCGACCTTGTTCTCACCATGACGGTCGACACCTCGTCGCGGAACTTGCTCCGGCTTCCCAAGCTTCTCCGCATTCTCCGGCTCATCCGGCTTGTCCGCATGGTCCGGCTCTTCCGTCTCTCGCGCATTTACCGAAAGTGGCAGGCCCACATGCGGGTCAACTCGTCGGTCTTCAAGCTCATCAAGCTCATTGTCATCCTGCTTGTCCTCTCGCACTTTCTCGCATGCCTTTCTTCCTCACCGCCGAGCTGCAGGACGCCGATGTGGTGACCTGGCTCGACGCTGCAGACATGACCAACAAGTACGTGGTACGCCAGTACGTCATCTCGTTCTACTTTGCTATTTCAATGATCACCACCACCGGGTACGGCGACATTGTGGGCGAGACGCTTGTCGAGCGCATCTTTATCATCTTTGCGGTCGTGGTCGGCGTCTCTATGTTCTCGTACGCTGTCGGTGAGATGACCTACCTTGTCCAGCGGATGTCGTTCAATCCGACGCGCAAACGGCTGGACGAGGTCAACGTGTACATGAAGTACCGCCAGCTTCCGCGCAAGCTGCGTGTCCTCATTCGCGAGCACTACATGTTCGCCTACACTCGGCACCGCGCGGTTCTCGATGAGGCGCGCATCCTTCGCGAGCTCTCCCCGGCTCTCCGGCTCACCGTCGCCCAGTTTATCATGGACGTCAAGCTCCGCAATGTCTCGCTGTTCAAGAACGTCTCGCCCGAGTTTGTCACCGAAGTCATCCTGCACCTCACCCCGCAGGCCGCCGCCCAGGGTGACCACATTGTCCGCGAGGGACAGATTGGCAATGAGCTGTTCATTCTCTCGCGCGGCATGGTCGAGATCCGTTCCGGCGACGGCAAGCTGGTGTACAAAACGCTCGGCTCCGGCTCGTACTTTGGCGAAATTGCGCTCATTTCCGACGACGCGCGGCGCACGGCCTCTGTTGTCGCCATCACTCCATGCGATCTCGACGTGCTGCGCAAGGAAGACTTCCAGGCCATCCTCGAAAAGTTCCCCAACGACGTCCCGCACATCGACATTGTGCCCACTGCTCGTCGCCGCCTTGCTGAAATTCGCCGCGCGCTCGTCGCCGTCGACGAGCTCCCGCCGCCGGGCACCGGCTCGCTCGATCCGTTGACTTCGATCCAGAACCTGACTCGCTCCAGCACTGCGTCGGCCATGGAGGGCTCGGCTGATGACAACGCGACAGGACAGGCAGCCGAGCGTCCAAGCGCCGTCGCCCGGTCGTCGGCTGTTTCCGACTCGGGGCGCCCGCGGTCCTCGTCGCTCTTTCTCGGCAATATCTCACAGACCCGTAACCCCGAGTCGGTCCGTGACGGCCTGGTGGCCATGGTCTCGGCCGCTGGCGACAAAAGCTCACTTCACGTCTCGAACGACCTGCTTTCGGCCATCGACGAGACCTCATGCGCCGCTTCTGCAGCTGGTACGTCGTCAGCGGGCATGTCGACCCATCCATCGGCGAGCTCGGTTGTCATGCGGAAGCCTCCAGCCAATACCAAGATCTCGCCGAAGCGCCCAGATAAGTCGTCAGCAGTCTCGTCGGTACACTCGTCGTCGTTGTCCTCCTCATCGTCGTTGTCGTCGAACGTCGTCTCGGAGGGCTCCAATGACCTGCCTGGCGCCGTGTCGGCCGACGCCGGCTCGGGTAGGTCGACAGGAACTAGCCATGCCACGCCGCGCCGGTTCGAGCGGGGCGCACTCATGCGCGAAGCTTCAAACCCACGTATGGCGGCCTCTCTGGTGCTATCGTCGCACGGGCGCCGCGGCAAGAGCTCGTGGGGCCACCAGCGGATGGGCTCGGGCTCTTTGAAGAAGCAGGTTTCCGATGATCAGGCCAGCTCAGCCGACGTTACACTCCTCTGCCAAGGCCGGCGGGCACAGGTCGCGATTCCTGCCCATGCTCGAATGCTGGCCGGCGCCTTTGTGTGGCTCAAGCGCGAGGCTGTGCTCGCGCTCGGCATCGACGCCACAGTTGCGCGGCTCGAGCTCTTTTCTCCATCGGCCGGCACTGGTGGATACAGCGCAATGACCAAGTCGCTCGAGAACATGCCTCCGGTCAACAGCGGTATCCGCATCCCCATCCTGGACGATACCGACGTGGCGATGCTCAAGACCGGCGACATGATCGAGGTATTCCCATCCTCGAACCCGTAGCAAGAGCCGTTTAGCCGTTTACGCCACGGAATGGACAGGTTTGTCCATCGCGCAAGCCGCGCTCGGCGACGCTGCACAGACGTCGCACGTCCATGAATTGTTGTAAAAGAGTAGTACAATGTGTTACTGGCTGCCACAGCAGAAAACAGTCGGCGATGCAGAGATGAACGCCGCACGCGGCGCAAAAGGTCCACGGCCGCGATCGCTTATCATGAAGCTACCGGCAGGCGAGGCAGTCGCGTCGCAGAGCGGCTCGCAGGGAAAGGTGGTGATGACGAGCAGCCGCTGCAGAGGGACGCTTCCGCTTGTGCGACGGCGCGGAACTGACGGCGTCGGCGCTGGCGGCGAGGGCGCGAACTGACGGCGTCGGCACTGGCGGCGAGGGCGTCGATGATGTCGTTGAGAAAAGCCACGCGAGTCATGACGGGGCGTGGGCTCGCGTCAGCGTAGAGCGCGTACGCGGCGTCCAGAGTCCAGTACAGGATGGCGTGCCACCACTTGCGCAGCCACGCCGACCGGCAAGCTCGTCCGTCGCAAGAAGATCCACAACTGATGCTCTCCTTCCCGGTCGTTGGGGTCGTCACCGCGGCAGCAACTCGGGCATCCTTCAGGCAGGCGTCTCCGTGTCGGCCGCCATCACGTGCAGGTACGCCTCCTACCTCAAGCCGCAGGCCAAGCAGGCGTCGCGCATCGTCTACTGGTGACCTGGAAGTCAAGCATCATCAAGTTGCTCACGTTGAGAGGCGCGACAACGCGTCCGAACGACCGTACCGTTAGGGGTTAACAAACAAGCCCGTGCGCCTCGAGCACCCGCGCCACCGATGGCTCCGAGGCGAGCAGGTCATCGAGAGTGTCAAGAGCGTCGTCACCGAGACCCGCGAGGAGCAGCGCCCGCGGAAGCACATTAGCGCGCGGCGTAGCAATCTCGATGTGGTGGCGGACCCGTTCAGCGCCCTCATCGTCGACGCCTGCGGCCGCAGCTTCGGCAAGCCCCGGCGCACCGTAGATGGCGCCCAGGAGGCAAGCGTGTGCCCGCTGCGTCGGAACCGCCATAAGTGTGGCAATCATGTCGATGGCCCGGTAGTAGAGCTTGTTGTTGTTGATGCCCATGTTGATCATGCGGTTGCCAAAGACGACGCCCTCGGCGACCTTGGCAAGTGTCGTCACCGTGTTGAGGATGATCTTCAGCGCAAGGTGGGCCCTTGCCTCGACCGCCAGTGTCGTCGCCTCGCCGGGTAGCGTGTAAGGACTCGGCCCGCGCAAATTGACGGTGACGGCGGCGGTGGCAAGGCCAACGAGGCTATCCCACTCGTAGCGAGCGTCCCCGACGAGCCCCGGCTCGCCGATGGCAACCAGACCAAGGACTGGGGTCGCCGCCGGCGACGGAAGCTCCAGCGCACCACGGAGCGCGGCCATGACGGCAGCAGCGGCATTGCCACCATCGGCGGCCGACTCGGCGGCAGTAGGCATGAGGCCGACGACAAGGTCGTTTGCGGTGAGGCTCGGCACAACAAGCGCGACAAAGGCATCCAGCGAAATGTCCAGCAGCGGCGAGTCGGGATGGGCAGCGATCATGTCGCCCTCGGCGTTACGGAGCGCGGCCCAACCGCGTGCCACAAAGGCACGGATCTGATCGGGTGGTGCACCGTAGGTGTCCACCATCTCCGAGACATCAATGACGCCCAGCGTTGCGGCATCGCCACCGCCGACGTAGTAGATGTGGCCGCCGCCGCGGACGGCTGCAGCGGCGGCGTCGACAAGATCCACCAGTGCCGGCCCGGCACCGTAGGCGGCGACACTAGCGTTGTCAAGCGAGTTGAAGCATTTGAGCAGCAGTCCTGGGCTTGCGGCCTTGGCGCCAGCCGCGATGGTGGCGGCGCCAGCGAGGACAGTGTCGAGAAGGACCTTAGTGGCGGATCCGCCCTTCATCCGCGACGAGCCAGCGACCGGCTCGGGACCAATGACCGGGTTGAGCAAAATCCACGAGGCCGGAGCAGCCGCGGCCGCGTCTGCAAACCGCCCGTTGAGAAGCGAAGCAAAAGTATGCGGCCAGCCCTCGATGGGCGCGTCACGAGCGAGCTCGGCTGGATTGAAGCCGATGAGAATGGCACCCGAGGCCGGATCGGCAGCGTAGTGGTGGAGCATGTACTCGATCTGACCAGCAACATACGGCGCCGAGAGCCCGCACGAGATGCCGACGTAGACAACGTGAGCTGGCGGAGAGGGCGCAGAGGCAATGGCGGCAGCTAGGTCGTCGGCCCCGAGGTGCGGATCGTCTTCGGGTAGCTCGCGCGAGAGGACCAGGGCCACGTCGCCACCGGCGAGGGTGTAGGCAAAGCGAGGCGCCGGAGCCACGGCGTTGTAGGCAGTGGCGGTGAGGAAGGCCAGCCGACCGGACGTTCCACATCCGCCGAGCACCACCAGGGTTTCGTCAGCCGCCGCTGAACGGAGAGCCGGAGCCAGGAGAGCGGCAGCCGCCGCCGCAGCCTCCAGCAGGGGCGGGTCGACAAGGCCTGGGTATGGGGTGGAGCCAGCATACACACCTGCGTCGGCAGCTGCAAGGAGGCGGATGGCATGGGGTGTGGTTGCTTGCGACAGCTTGGTTGTCAGGGCATGCGCCTGCTCGGTGACACGGGCGGGAGTGGTCATCGAGTCAGGTGCAAAGTCGGCTGGGCTACGGCTACGGCCACAAGGCTGGGCAGTGATGGATGACAATGATGATGATGATGATGATGATGATGCGATGGGCGCTTAACTGGGCGGCGACTACGGGATTGCGGCTGCAGGTGCGGCGGGAGTGGTTAGAGGTTCGACTCGGCGAGGAAGGCAAGGGCGGCTTCGCGCTCGTCGATCAGCTCGGCCTGGGTCTTGTCGAGCATGCTCTGCGAGAAGGCGTCGATGTCGAGGCCATCGACGACATTAATGTCGCCAGTGGCCGCGTCGATGGTGACGGGGAAGGAGAAGATAATACCTTCGGCAACGCCGTAGTGGGTGCCGTCCGAATAGATGGCCATGGAGACGATGTCGTCGGGCTCGGTCCCGAACCACCAAGTGCGCATGTGGTCGGTGATGGCCTTAGCGGCCGACATGGCGGACGAGAGCTTGCGGGCCTTGATGACGGCGGCGCCGCGGGTCTGGACGGTGGTGACGAGCTCGTCGCGGGCCCAGGCCGACTCGGCGAGATCCATGACGCGCGACAACGAGCCATCAGCGTTGGTGACAGTGCCGTGCGAGACGTCCGGGTACTGGGTCTTGGAATGGTTGCCCCAAATAAAGGTGTTGCGGACGTCAGCAACAGCGACGCCGAGCTTGCAGGCGACCTGCGCCTTGAGGCGGTTGTGGTCGAGGAAGGTGAGGGCAGTAAAGGCCGACTTGGGGAGCGACGAGCCGGTAGTGAGGGCAATGAGCGCGTTGGTGTTCGCCGGGTTGCCCACCACTAGCACACGGACCGAGGGCTTGGCGTGTGCGGCAAGGGCGGCACCCTGGGCCTTGAAGATCCCGGCGTTGGCCTTGAGCAGATCGGCGCGGACCATGCCCTCGCGGCGGGGCATGGCGCCGACAAGAATGGCGACGTCGACATCGGCAAAGGCCTCGGCAGGCTTGTCGGTCACCACAAAGTCGACCAGCAGCGGGAAGGAGCAGTCCTCCAGCTCGAGTGTCACCCCGCGGAGAGCGCCGAGGGCAGGCGTGATGTCCAGAAGATGCAGGACGACAGGCTGGTCGGCACCAAACATCTCGCCCTTGCAGATGTTGGCGAGGAGCGAGTAGCAGATTTGTCCCGCAGCGCCAGTGACGGCCACGCGGATGAACGGCTTGAGGTTGGACATGTGGGTGATGGGAGGTGGTTGGAAGTGGGGTGCCTCCTCTTTCCCCCCCTCGGTGCGCTCCGCAAAAGTGGGTGGCTTTGGGCCGACAGCTTGCGGTGGGGTGAGCAGCCACGTGGAGGGTAGTAGAGAGCCAAAGGTAGGAAAAAAAAAAGAGAGAGAAGGCACAAGACTGGGGAGAAGCACGGGTGTGTACTGGAGGGTAAACAGATGGCACGGATGGATGGGAAGGTGGTGGTGGAGGTGGGGTGGCAAGAGGTGACAAGGGTGGCAAGGATCGAGGGCGAGGAGGAGGCGAGAGCAAGGGTGAAAAGGGTCGAGAGAAAGCGCGACGCACATGACCAACACGGGATGCGAGTCAGTGCGATCAGCAGCAGCCCTTCTTCTGCTTCGGGGGCGGGTCATGGAGCTTGATAGCCGACGGGGGCGGGAAGCCGAGGTCGACATCGTTCTCCTGCTTGAGAGCGTTCTTGGCAATGGTGTGGAAGGCCTGCTCAACTTCGACGTTCTCCTTGGCTGATGTCTCAAAGTAGGGGATGTTGCCCTTGAGGGTGCACCAGGTCATCGCACGCTTGGTCGAGATGCGGCGCTGGTCTTCCAGGTCGATCTTGTTGCCAAGGACGACAAACGGAAAGTTGTCCGGGTCGCGCGGGCCGGCCTGGATAAGGAACTCATCGCGCCACGAGTCAAGATTCTCGAAGGTCTTGGGAAGGTTGACGTCGAACACGAGGACGCAGCAGTCGGCACCGCGGTAGAAGGCAACGCCGAGCGACTGGAACCGCTCCTGCCCAGCCGTGTCCCAGATCTGCATCGTCACCAGCCGGTCCTCAACCATCACCTCCTTGGTCAGAAAGTCGGCCCCAATGGTAGCCTTGTACTGCGACGAGAACTTGCTGTTCACGTACTGGTTCATCAGCGAGGTCTTGCCCACACTGTCCTACTGTGTGAGTCGTGCGCGCCGTGCCGACTGTGACGGTCGCATGTGACACTCGCCGCCCCCCACTCGGGCTGACAGGCGCCATGCCCTGCACCGCCTCTACACACACGCTAATCCACCGGCAACCTCCGCAGCAATCTACGGACCACCATGGCTACATGCCCCTACATCCTGCCGCCGATTCGTGGCGTAGCACGGCTTCCACGGGTCACGCCCTGCGCCAACATGGCGACGGCGGGGTGCTTCCACCAAAGGCGCAAAAATCGCACCAATAGCCTTTGCGACGGCAAAGGGGGGGGGGAGGGTAGGCACGACGGGACAAACCTCACAGGGGGGGAGGGGGGCAGGGGGAGGGGAAGACGGATACGTGGCCACACATGGGCATGTCTCATCCTTGTGTGTTCTGTCGGCCGTGTCTTTCCCCGTCAGACCTCCCAGGTCAAAGGCAGGCCGAGGGTACACCCGAAGGGGCGGAGCGTGTTCCACATTCTGACCGCGCGACGGGCCATCCACCCGACGGCGTGCGGGGGTGGGCAAGGGGGGGGTACTAGGGGAGGGCAGAACAAGGCAGGAGAAAGATTTGAGAAGTGGAGAACGTACCCCGAGTCGCCAAGGATAATGACCTTCAGCAGGACCTTCTTGCGCGTCGCCATGGTCTTCCTGTTTGTAGAGATGAGAGGAATGTCAGACGGTGGTCACGAAAGGCTGCCTGGTTTTGTGGCCACGCTTCGAATACACCTTCCCTTCCTCCCCTGGTTGCTGTCTTCCACACACCGTTTCGGCGCGTGACTTGCCCGCATGCCCTGCCCCTCCCACCATCCATCCCTTCCAACCCGAAAACAATTGCCATGGCACTGTATGCCCAAAGTGCGGCTGAGGGCATACGGTAGGACGATCAAGTCAGGGAAGGGGATAATGTACATCCCCTGGGGCTCTTCACTATTTATCATGTCGTCATCGATTAATCGAATCATGTCGTCAACGATTAATCGTCGATGTCGTCGATTTGCCCCACACCCTCACCTCGCCTCCCTCCCCCTCCACCCTTCACACAGGCCACGGGATACAACGGGACAGACCCGTCTTTCCCCGCCGCTGACGGCAGAAATGGCGTCGTCATCGACCTCGTTGGACTTTTCCACCTCGTCTCAGAGCGGCTCTAGCGCCAGCAGCGGCCCGCCGCCGGCCGTCCCTCCGCTGCCGCCCTCCTCGGCGGCGTCAGCGGCAAGACCGGCGCCTGCAGTTCCGGCTCGCCCGCCGGACCGAGCGCAGACGCGAGCTACCGCTGGTTCAGACAGCAGCTCGTTCTCATGTGGAAGCAGCTCGGAAAGCGAGAGTGGAAGCGAGGCACCTGTCCCGGCCGCTCGGTCAGCGGCCCGAGCTCGAGCACCAGCACCAGCGCGTGCACCACCAGCCCCTACACCAACGCCAGCTCGGGCGCAAGCGGCGCCTCGCGAGTCTGGCGATGGGGGACAGGCGACACCGCGGACGCCGCGGAAGCACGGCTGGGACATTCTGCGGTCGCATCCAAAGCTCTCGCAGGCTGCACGAGTCCTCAATCGATCGGCTAGCAAGATCCAGGCCGACCGCGGGCGGGAGGACGAGAGCATCGGCGAGGCTGACAGCGGGAGCGAGTCGTACACGGTCGATTACTCGTACTCGGGCTCGAGATCATGGACTGACGAGGGCGAGAGACTCGGCAGCTCTGCCGAAGCAGCGCGAGCCCGGCGCAAGCGGCGCGAGCGGCGGCGGGCGCAGTTGACAGGCGGGGCGCGGCAGCGGTCATCGATATTTGCGTCTGCGCTCGACCACGAGCTCAAGTCGGATGCTTGGCTGGCTCTGGCGCAGGGCCAGGTGAAGCAAGAGCTTTCTCTGACAGACAAGTTGCTGCAGGAAGAGCTGTACGCGACGGTGCCGGGGACGCCGATGCCGGACCACATGGCAGCGCAGGAGGCGGCGCTCGCCGAGCTGGAGGCAGCGGTGGCGCGCGACTCGGCGATGCTCACGTCGTTCCGCGACGCGCTAGGACGGGCCAAGGATGCCGCAGGCAACCTGCGGAGCGGACTAGAGGCGGTCGAGGCCAAGCTCGACGTGGTCGAGTCGCTGGTCGTCCCCATCCACACGGTCACCTCCCAGCTGCAAACGACGCACGCCAATCTCGAGGCGACGACAGAGTTGCTGGAGGAGGCGCTGGCGCACTACGCGGTGCCTGGTGAGCTGGCCCAGGTTGTCTCGCAGCCTGCCCGACAGGAACGGTACAAGCCGGTGGTCCGGGCTGTGGAGCGGATCGACGCGGCGCTGGCGTTCTTTGGAGCGCACCCCGAGTATGCCGATGCTAAGGCGACGGCGGCGACACTGCGGACCATGCGGGCCAAGGGCTTGGAGAATGTAGGCGAGATGGTGGCGCGGGTAGCGACGACGTCGTGCGCCAAGGCGCGCCTTGCGGCCGAGTACGTCGGAGTCGAGGGGGCGTGGCCGGTGGCGTCAGATGCCGCAAGCCTGCTCCTCGATGTGGCGCCGGCGCTGAGCGGAGCGCGGTACACCGCGCATGAGGCAGTGCTGGCGAGCGCGAGGCGAACCGGCCTGATGGCGTCGCTCAAGGCCGAGGCTGTGGCGCTCGGAGCGGACGCACCGGCGAAGAGTGGGAGCAGGCGACGGAGCGGGCGGCGCCGGGCGCGGTCGGCCGAGACTGGACCCCACGTCCACTGGTACACCAAGGGCTCGCTGCCGTACCTGAAGCTGGTGCAGAGCTTTCTCGGGATGGCCGAGGCCGAGCGCGAGTTTGCGACGCGGCTCTTTACGCTCGACTCGTTTGATGCCAACTTTAAGACCGTGGTCGAGGCCTCGGTGGACTACCTCGTTGAGGTCGGGAGCGGGGCAGTGGCGCGGAGTGAGGAGTCTATGCGGCCGCTGGTGACGATGGACGTGGTCGGCGTGCTGTCAGAGACTTTTGTGGCGTTTGCGAGCGTGCTGCGCGGCGTCGATGGCATCGGTCTTGCCACTGGCCTCTCCAAATTTATGGACTCGCTCAACGGAGCATTGCGGGCGTGGCTGACGTCGTTTGTGGCCTCGGTGGCATCGCACTCTGCCAAGCAAGTTCCCAAGGATGGAACCGTCTCGGAGCACACCGCCAACACGCTCGGCTACGCCCGGGCGCTGCTCGACTACGAGGCGCTGCTGCAATCGCGGCTGCCAGCGGTGTCGTGGCGCGAGGCGGGCGAGGCGAGCGGCAGCGGCGAAGCGCGGGCAGCGACAACGCCGCTGGGCGAGTACATGTGCAAGGTCCTCCGCACGCTCGAGGATAACATCCACGCCAAGGCGAGGAGCTACAAGGTCGACTCGCTGCGGCACATCTTTCTCCTCAACAACTTTCACTACATCGTGAGCTCGGTCCGGTCGTCGGGCCTCGCCTCGGTCGTCCCGGGCGCGCTGGTGGGCGAGTTTGAGGCTCAGGAGGCGCGGGCCCGCGAAAAGTACCAGCGGACGTGGGATGCGGCCATGACGCATTTGCTCGACAAGAACCTTGCGCTGAAGGCATCGGGAGGCGAGTCGGCCAAGCTGTCCAAGTCTGACCGCGAAAACATCAAGAGCCGGTTCTCCAAGTTCAACGCCGAGTTTGAGGCCATCACAGCGGCCGCGGCAACGTACACGGTGGCGGATCCGGAGCTCCGCGACGCGCTCAAGGCCGAATCAAAGGAGCGATTGCTCCCGCTGTACACTCAGTTTGTGGCGCGGTATCGTGACGTCTCGTTTACCAAGAACTTGTACAAGTACCTCAAGTATATGCCCGAGACGGTTGCGGAGAAGATGGACCGCGCGTTTGCATGACGCGCTCTGCATGGTGCTGGATCACTCGTCGACGTCGTTGATGTTGATGACGTACGTCTTGCCGGGCTCCCACTTCATGGTGACCACGGGTGTGTCGATTGCGTACGCGTCCGACGTCTCGGAGATGTCAGACTCGGTGTCGACGGCAGGCGAGCCCGAGACTGGGAAGCTTCTTGGCGGGACTGGCGGCCGGACGTCAGCATCAAGCACGGCGTCAGATGCGTCCATGTCGACCAGGTCGTACTCGAGGTCGATGTCCGAGTCGGTGTCGCCTGAGCGGACGTCGATAACCTCAAAATCGTGCGAGGCCGACGACGCGTCCAACATGTCTCCAGCGCTCGACTCGTCGTCGCCAGCGTTCGAGTCGGAAGCCGAGACGATGACGTGCTCAAGCTCGGTGAGCGGCTCATCGGCGGCATGAGGCGACATAGGGACAGTAGAGGCCGGGGCTGGAGCTGGGCTGTTGTCTGTGTCCGACTCGGTGGGGCTCTCGCGCATGGCGTCCTCAATAGCCTCCTTCTCGGCGAGCCGAACTTTCCACGAGTCGACCAACTCGAGCCAGCGCTGGATGAGGGCCACGAGCGATTTGCGGCGAGCCCGGACCAAGTCTGAGCCGTGCGACGGGATCGAGTCGAGTTTGAGCATGCCGTGATGCATGAGCATCTCGCCAAGGCCGACGGCGTCGACCTCGCGGGCGGTGTTGTTTGCGAGCTTGGCCTCAAACTCGCGGACAAGCTCCGTCACCTTGTGCATGACATCGCGAAGAGCGCGGAGGTGGTCGAGGATGTGGGAGCGGCGGACGAGCCAGCCGCGGACAGCTGCCTGGATGACGATGGCAGAGGCGTGGCGGACCTCGGGCAAAGCCCGGCGGCGGGCCTCGGCCTCGGCCACCCGGCGGGCCTCGTGCTGGCGGGCGGCGGCCTTGCGACGCTCTTGGGCACGGCGATGGGCGCGAGCGTGGACGGCGTCGTGCTGCTGCCGTCGCGTGTGCGCCGGTGACGTGCGGCGAACCTCGTGCCGCGGCGGTTCCCACGACGACTCGCCGGTAAAGGTATCAACGTAGTATGGATCACCGGTCAGCGGGTGGCGGCGCTCCTCCCAGCGCGATGCCGAGCGCCAGTCCGGAGGCCGCCTGCCACGGGAGCTGAACACCGTCTTGGGCCGAGGCCCGGAGCTGCGACGGTGGGTGTACCTCTCAGGCGACATGTGTGAGCGGTGACTCGGAGCAAAGAACGAAGCGAGTGGATCAACTGTGTACATGGAAGGGACAAGGCTTTGGCGCCCCGATCTCGATCGGCGCTGATCGTATCCTCGCCCTTTTGATGAGAGTCGTCGGAATCTTTCGTGAAGCTTTGACTGCATCACTCTGCTCATCTGGTGGCGGTCCCGATATTATCCAAGCTGAGGCATCCGCGACAATCATGACTCCCACCCTCCCTCCCCCCTATCAGGCCGATCCCCGCCATTACTGGTGTTTACATAAGGAGTGTACGTATGTATGTATGGTGCGAGGGGCGAAGAGATGATGGACGGAGAGGGGATGAAGGCGTGCGAGTTGGCATTTGTGGGTTTCGTTCCCGATTGTCACGGTTGTCACCATTGTTCGCGAATGTGACCACTGTCGCCGTTGTTCGTGACTAACACCATGGCCATGCCATGTCGTCTCTGCGCAGCCGCTGATGGTTGTAGATGATAGTGATCGAAGACAGATTGACTGGTTGATTACGTACGTTGCCATCTTCAACCGGCTTGGCGTGAGCAGTCGGCGGTGGTTGATCTGACCACCGCACACATCCATCGGCAGTGCATGACTTGACGGACCTCCCTCTACTTGACCACCTTGCCACAGCCAAGGTCTATATCCCGATGATATGTCGAGCAGCCGAACCGGCGATTGTAACCATTGTTCCTGCCTGGTCAAGACCTTTGTGACTACTGTTCCCCATCAAGACCATTGCCACCATTGTTCTTGATTATGCCCATTGTGACCATTGCCACCATTGTCTTGATTATGCCCATTGTGACCATTGTGACCATTGTTCTTGATTATGCCCATTGTGACCATTGCAACCATTGCGACCATTGCTCCCAATCATGACCATTGCCACCATTGTGTGTTCCCCATCAAGACCGTCCAGTCCCCTTGCTATTATTTGCTTCCCAATGGTTCAAATTCATGGACACAAACCAACCACCGTGTTCCACGGGTCACGTGGCGGATGACGACCAGTTGGCGCCACGCACTTCACGCTCTCCCCTGGCAAAAGGCCGAGTGGCAGGATCATGGCGACAGCAGTGGCGTGGTTTGAAGCCGCAACGGGAGAAAGCGACCTGCCAGATGCCTCCCTTGCCGTCGATGGTGGCTGCCGCTGCGTCTGCGCCATGCTCGGCTCCGACGCCTGCTGGGCATGCACCGGTCGGGCTGGGCCTGCTAGCCTGACTGCAGACTCGCGCCGGGCCGGGGCCGCCGGCCAGACCGCGCTGCGCCAGGCTGGAAAGGCCATTTCCCGCCACGATGTGGCTCGTCTCGCGGCGCTGCTGGTCATGGTGCCGACAACCGGGCCCGAGGCTGCGGCAGCCGCCGGCGCGTTGCTCGGCGCCTGCGTCGAGGCCCACGCCCCGCGGTGTGCCGCTGTGGTTCTAGGCGCACTCGGTGGCGCGCTGGAGGCCCACACACAGGAGAGGGTCTGGCCGCTGCATCGCGCCGCGGCGGCCGGCGATGGCTGGATAGTGGCGGTCATGGCGCTGTTCGGACTCTCGGTCCACGGCGCGCCCGCGGGCGCCCGCGGCGCGCCGCCGGTCTGTCCGCTCCACGCCGCTGCCGCGCACCCGTGCGGCGCAGCCGCTGTCGCAGTTCTTCTCGCTGCCGGGGCTGATCCACACGGCCGGGTGCCCCGCACTGACGGCGGTTTTGACGACTCGCCGCGGATCGGGCGCCACGGCTCAACGCCGCTGCTCGCCGCATGCCAGCGCGGGGAGCTGCGGTCTATCGAGCTGCTATTGGATGCTGGCGTAGCACCGGATCTTGTTTATCCCAGCTTTGCCGGCCTCCGGAACGCCACTGGAGTGTATGTGGCGGCGGCTGCCGGTCGGGTTCATGCGCTGCGGCTGCTGCTGGCCGCCGGTGCCACCCTGCACGCCACCCACGGGATGACGGCCATGGACGCCGCTGCCCGATTCGGCGACACCGGCATGCTCGAGCTTATTCTACTCACACTCGAGGAGCGCCAGTTTGAGACCGGCCCGGTTGTCCCGCTCAAGGTCTTTCGCTCGATCCGACGTATCGCGTCAGACTCGCGACACGCCGGTGCGCGCGCCACTCTCGACTACTTGCGGCATCCAGGCACCGGCCCGCTCCACCGGGCTCTGCACGAGTTCCCACGGGCGCGGAGTGCTCTCGCGGTCGTCACCCGTGATGTGGCCGCGCTGGGCGCACTGTGCTCGGCGCCTCTATGTGCGCTGCAGGCCGCCACCGGCCTCAGCGCCGACGTCTGGATCGCATACATTCTGCCGCATCTGGCATCACCGGCAGACGCCGCATTTGGCTTTGTGGCTCCGCTCTCGCGCCGCTGCACCGCCCGCCCACGTATGTCTGACATCGAGCTCGCCCTCGCCGCCCTCTCGACCCGCACCGGCCAGCTGCAGCTGTGGACGCCGCCGCCGTGGTTGCGCGCGGCGTCCAAGACCAAGCGGGCATCGGCGCTCTCCTTCCGCCTGCTCTTTGTCGCCAAGGCCGTCTTTCACCTCATCGGATGCGATCCCGCGACTCTGCCGTGGTATCTCCGCACCACCGCGCCGGTCCAGCTCTGCCCCGACGCGCCCGCCTCGTCCGCTGGCATGTGCACCATATCGTGATCAAGGCCCGACCTCCCCTGTTCTCGCCGATGAATGAACATATCCAAGCTCAGCTCGACTCGCCCAGGTGGTCAATGACCTTCTCTTCCGACGGCATCCCGGGCAGTGACGGGAGGCTGTTGAACCACAATCGCACGCGAGTACAACACGCTGTGTGCGTCTCCCCTTGCTCGGCAGCAGTTCCGAACACCGACGACAGCGACACCACCACACCCACCGCCACCCACCACCGCACACCACCACACAACACTACAACACCATACGCACAAGACAGTACCTCACCGCACTACACCATACCAACACAACTTGCTCCTCGTCCCTCCCTCCCCACCGCATCCCCTAATCCCTCCCCCAACACTCCCAACAAAAAGGTCGTAGTTTGACAACCATGGCCGAGCTCCCCCCGCTGCAGAAGGATGCAGCAACAGGCGAAGAGTACTATGCGCTCTCGGCCAACAGACGGGTGTACCTGTCCAAGTTCAACGGCAAGTCACTGCTCCACATCCGCGAGTACTACACCGATGCAGGCGGCGAGCTCAAGCCTTCGCGCAAGGGCGTCGCTCTCTCGGAGGAGCAGTTCCTGGCCCTCCTCGCCGCTGCCAACGACATCGACGCCGCGCTCGACGCGTTGTAGGTGTTCAGCGGCACGGGCATGCCACGTGGAGTAAAGTTTACTCGTCCGAGCCCTCGATGAGCAGCTTCTGGAACGAGGCTGTCCGCATCCGCCGCATGACCACCGGCGGCGCTTGGGCGAGGACAAACGCGCGGTCCTCATCGGTGAGCTCGGTTTTGGCCCTTCCGCGGCGACTGCCGGTTCGGCGCTCGCCAATGGACCGCAACTCTGGCACTACACCGGCCGATGCGCTGCTTGGAGAGAAGACACCGACATCCGAGCTGGAGCGGACCATCCGCGCATATCGCTCGGCGAGGACGTCAAAGGCGCGCTCCTTCAGCCGCGGCGAGACGCCCGACGCCGAGCCCGAGCCCGCCGTACCCGAACCCGGCGTGCCCGAGAGCATGCCATCCTGGCCAGGCCTGGCAATCTGTGAGCGAAAAGCGTTGTGAAACTTGGTGATGCCGTCGACCCAGGCGTCGGCGACGTCGCCAGACTCGGCCACCAACAGCGCCGAGCTCGACGAGCGCGCAGTCTCGACATGGATCTCGAGCGCCGCATCGAGCGCGGCATCGTCGAGCCCCGCGCCGCTGGCAGCCGCGCTCGCTGCAGGCGGCACATCGTCGGGCCGCAACCGGTACACCCGGACGCTTCCACTCAGCCTCATCGACCCAAACGCGGCCTCGGGGCCACGCCGCCACGCTTCCTGCGATCGCCACCAGTACAGTCGCGCGTGCGCCTCGTGTAGCTCGTAGAAGAGCTTTTTCCACGACACTCCGTTGAACTTGTGCAGCCAGCCAGAGAGCACTTTGTCCAGCACCGTGACAGCCACGCGCAGCTTGGGAATGCGCCCGTCCGCCTGCGTCTTGCATGGCGACTCGGCCATCGACGACTCGGACGAGAGCGAGGTACCCGGTCGCGTGTCGGCCTGCGCACTGCTGCCGCAGAGCGCATCCGCTGTCGGCGGCGAGCACGCTTCGGCTTGCGCCACCTCGGCCTCGGCTTTGAGTGCATCAGAGAGCAACGATCGCGTGGGCTTGCCCTGTGGCCGGCCACTACCACCACCGTCATTGCTACCAACGCTGCCGCCGGCCTGGGCCAAAGCCGGCGTATCCACCGACGCCGCGCGCGCCTCCTCGAGCATCAGCGCCAGTGAGCCAGAGCCCGACGACGCCAGCGACTCGGAAAGCGCGGCGGCGTACGGATGGACCTCACGTGGCGAGGCAACAACCAAATTGTCGGACGAGACGTCTCGGAGCACCGACGCCGGCTCTGGTGGCACCTCAAAGGTATCGGGGAGGTCGTCAATCTGGAGCCACGAGTCGCGAAGCTTTCGTCGCGCGCTGTTCCGAGAAAACTCCTCCAGGTACTGCGTCCGGGTCAGCAGGCTCTTGACCCGCGGCTTGATAATCGGATGGTTGAGGAGGGTCGTGACCGACGGTCGCTGGTCCGGCGCATGCTTCATGATCGAGTCGTAGAACGCCTCGAGCTGGGGCGAGTACTGCCCGCGCGGCAGCCGCGGCACCTTGCCCGAAAGCACCCGCCTGACAACCGAGCGAAAGGCGGGGCCGTAAACACCACCGTCGACCTCTTCGTCGTCATACGACGACTGCCAGCTCGCCTCTGAGTCGTAATCATCGTCGTCCGACTCGGAATCCGAATCGCCCTCGCCCGAGAACGGGCGGTAGAGCGAGCATAGCTCGTAGAGGATGCATCCGAGCGACCAGACGTCGGCCTTGGAGTTGTACTCGGACGTAAAGACCTCGGGTGCCATGTAGAACGGCGTTCCACATGCCAGATCCATCGACGCCACCTGCGCAGTCATGAGCCCAGTGAGACCAAAGTCGCCGAGCCGAATCGTGCCGTCCTTGGCCAGAAACACGTTCTCGGACTTAAGGTCGCGGTGGATGATCTTCTTGTCGTGGACGTGCTTGAGCGCAAGGGCAAGCTGAGTGAACAGATTCAGCACCTCATCCTCCGAGTAGTAGTCCATGCCCGCCCGCCTCCGGGCCACGACAGCCGCACCCAGCTCACCACCCTCTGCAAACTCCATCACAATGCACAATGTCCGCTTATCGACAAACGACTCTTCCAGCGCAATGATGTATGGATGCGACAACGCGAGGAGTGCCGAGACCTCGTTCATCGCATGCTCCACAGCTAGAAAGCGAGATATAATATACATAAATATATATGTGGGGTGTGACGGCCGATGTTCATGTATGAGAGAGAGAGAGTGTGTGTGTGTGTGTGCGTGTGTGTGTGTGTGTGTGTGTGTGTGTGTTGCCCGAGAACGTGAGTATGATCATGCGGCAATGAGCCATTCTCGTGCTTCGACATCATACGGGAAGGGGGGGGGGGGGGGAGGGGGGGGGGAGGTGGAGGAAGGGTGGAGAGAGAAGAAA